GGGGGTGAGCATCATATATAGAGTGTATGGTGGGGGGTGAGCATCATATATAGAGTGTATGGTGGGGGGTGAGCATCATATATAGAGTGTATGGTGGGGCTTGAGCATCATATATAGAGTGTATGGTGGGGGGGTATCATATATAGAGTGTATGGTGGGTGGTGAGCATCATATATAGAGTGTATGGTTGGGGGGGGGGTGAGCACCGTATATAGAGTGTATATGGTGCAAGAGCACCGTATATAGAGTGTATGGTGGTGGGGGGGAGCACGGTATATGTGAAAGTTTATATGTGAACGAATTGGGAATGTTATCATGTTCTATATTAAGACTAATGAGCTGTCCTGGTTTTAGATCCTCACTGAAGATTTTCCATGGCAACTACTGACCATTCCGATTCTTTTGTTGGGATCTCTTCTTCTGGAAAAGCTCTGTCTCAGAGAGTGGTGAAACATGCCCTTGCAATTATACATCTTTTGACCACTGAGGTATGTTATAGTATCAGTAGGGACAGAGTGACCCTGCAAGACAGGATGTCACATTGTGAAAGAGTGATACTCTGTGATCGATCGACTTTGGGTTATATGCTAATGTTGGGAAGTGACTATGGCAGTGTTATACTGCAGGATGACATGATGACCGTGTAAGTGTGACTGTGAGAGGTTGATACTGCAGCGTGACACACAGACTGTGAGTGTGAAAATTTGAATAAGATGATCGCGCACACACAATGGTATATAATGTTCTGGATACAGGTATATAAAAATACCTCTGCACTGTAAACATAAAAGACCATCATAGGGCAATATGTATACAATAAAAGCATATAGTTTAAATAACTTCAAACGTTCACAATATTTAGAGCCAATATAAGTCAGCCCTAAACTATTGTCAGGCGTTTCCGGTATGTGGAGCCGGCCCCGCCCCCTTTCTGACGCGGCTCTCTTACGCTATATAGAGAGACAGCGCCAGATTCAAACCGCTTGGTGATTCTCGGATCTGTTTCCGCGTTCAACGCCGGCTAAGCACTTCGCTCATAAACTTTACCAAACCTTAATTATTATAAAGGATTTTTCCTCCTCAGTTCCTCTGATCAAAGACTGTATTGGATCTCTATTTGTCTCCCGAAAACCGGACTGTTTATGTCATTTATCCCTTGGACTCAAGCTATTCATTCCCATGGAGGACAACTCCCATCAATCTTAAGTATACTATTTACTTTTATCTCTGAAGACTTACTTGCTAATGAACTGTTTCTTGCTTGCTATAATCTGCAGTTACTTCCTAATGAACTGTTACTTGCATGCTATAACCTGCAGTCACTAAAATATTATTGCAATCCTTAAAGGACCACTATAGTGCCAGGAAAACATACTCGTTTTCCTGGCACCCCCTCCTGCCCGGCTCTGGAAAGGGGAAAAGGGGCTAAACTTACCTTTTTCCAGTGCTGGGCGGAGAGCTCTCCTCCTCCGATCCTCCTTCTCTCCTCCCCGTCGGCTGAATGCGCACGCGCGGCAAGAGCTGTGCGCGCATTCAGCCGGTCACATAGGAAAGCATTCATAATGCTTTCCTATGGACGCTTGCGTGCTCTCACTGTGAAAATCACAGTGAGAAGCACGCAAGCGCCTCTAGTGGCTGTCAATGAGACAGCCACTAGAGGATTAGGGGGAAGGCTTAACTCATTCATAAACATAGCAGTTTCTCTGAAACTGCTATGTTTATGAAAAAATGGGTTAACCCTAGCTGGACCTGGCACCCAGACCACTTCATTAAGCTGAAGTGGTCTGGGTGCCTAGAGTGGTCCTTTAAGTCTTCTCCTTTTCCACTAACTGCCTTCAACCACCACTTTGCTTTAAAGCTACAGTATCCTTATTAATTAAAAGATTCTCCGCTTTCTTGCTATTGTAATTAAGGAGTTCTACAAGCTGCAGTTGAGTTCCAATTTCAAAATCCCTTGTAGCATAACAGAATCACCAAGCCTAAACATGGAACCAGCAGATGTGAATTCCCAAATTACTTCTTTAACCCATAGAGTTGGCATGCTCACTCAAGGCATGCAGGATTTACAAATTGCTAATTAGAGACTTCTTTCCTACATTAGAGAAATGCAAAATAAGGTTACTCATTCTTCAAGTGACCCTGCTGTCTGCAGCCCTGAAAAGTTTTATGGAGATCGCTCCAAATATAGAGAATTTCTGAATTCTTGTAAATTATTGTTTACGCTTAAACCCAGGTCATACCCCACTGACAGGATTAAAGTCTGTTGAATAATATCCTACCTAAGGGGAGAACCTATGTCTTGGGCACATTCCTTTCTGGAAAATGAGGACCAAAATAAACAAGCTACTGCTGATCTTACTATTAGATCTTTACAACAAAGAAATCGACCTGTGGAAGATTATATAGCTGAGTTCAAACGATGGGCTTCGGAAACCCAATGGAATGATATAGCTCTGCGCAATCAGTTCCGTTTAGGATTATCTGAAACTACCATTATCTAGAACTACTCTCCCTCCAATGCTTGATACATTGATTCAACTCTCTATCAGTATAGACAGAAGAATCAGAGAACGTAAAGCAGAGAACGCACTCACTAATTCACTTTGGAAAAAACCCAGTCCTCCCTTGCAAATTCCTAATAAAACCCTGCAACCAATTGAACCTATGGAAGTTGGGTTTATTAGGGGACCTCTCTCTATTGAAGAAAAAACAAGGAGGAGAGAATTAAATCTCTGCATGTATTGTGCCTCTAATGAACATCTTTTACAAGAATGTCATCTATTAAAATGCTCTAAGGAGCTTGAGAGTTCAATTGTCTTTTTAATCCCGGGATGACCAGCAAGTGGAGAGTCATGAATTAATTTTAGAAGTTTATTCTGGAGTAATGGAGAGTCATGAATTACCTTCCATACCTCAGTATTGAAAACCCTTCCCTCTTCCTCCTCTCATCAGTTTGCTGTATCTCTAATTTTACAGTGGGACAAAGAAAGAATCAAGACTGAGGCCATTATTGATTCTGGAACTACGGGGGTGTTCATAGATTCTTAATTTGTTGAAAACAATAAAATTCCTTATGTGCAAAAAGCATATTTTGTCTCTATCAGAGTTATTGATGGTTCTTTAATCCCCTCTGGTCCAATAAAAAAAAGAAACTATTCCTATTTTGGCAACTATCAATAATAACCATTCAGAATTTCTCGTTTTCGGTTTATTATAAAATCCCCCCTTTTTCCAATCATCTTGGGCATCACCTCGTTACAAACTCATAATCCCTTCATCTCTCTCTCCTATGAGTCAGATTATTGTAAGGACAATTGTGATTCGTATACTGCAATTAAGTCAAGAAACTTTAATACCGGAACAATATTCGGAGTTCTCTGATGTGTTTAGTAAAAAAGAAGCTGAATCTCTTCCTCCTCATCGGATTTATGATTGTCTTATTGACCTAATTCCTGGTGCTCCCATCCCCTATGGTCACATATACCCTCTTTCTGAGAAAGAATTAGAAACCCTTAAGGAGTAACTTGAAGAAAACCTCCGTAAAGGATTCATACGTCCTTCTACTTCTCCTGCTGCTTCCGGGATCTTCTTCGTAAGGAATAAAGATCAAACTATACGTCCCATAATTGACTACCGTGCATTAAATAAAATAACAGTTAAAAAACTTTACCCTCTACCTTTGATTCCTGAACTTATTGAAAGATTAAGAACGGCAACTATCTTCACCAAACTTGATCTCAGAGGGGTTTACACAAGCTAATTAGGATTAAAGAAGATGGTGAATGGAAAACGGCTTTCCGTACTAGGTATGGCCTCTTTGAATATTTGGTAATGCTCCTGCTACTTTCCAACACTTCATTAATGATATTTTCAGAGACCTCTTAGACACTTGTGTCATTATTTATCTAGATGATATATTAATTTATTCTGATAACCTTAAAGACCATAGGAAACCTGTACGCTGGGTGTTATCCAGATTAAGAATTCACAAACTATATGCTAAACCAGAAAAATGTTTATTCGAAGTTAAAGAACTCAATTTTCTTGGCTATGTTATTTCACCTCATTCAATAAGAATGGATGATTCTAAAATAAAATGCATTCTTAATTGGCCAATTCCTTCATCTACCAAAGATGTACAGAGATTTCTGGGTTTTGCAAATTTTCATAGGAAGTTTATCAAGAATTTCTCTGAGATAGCCCATCCTCTCCATACCCTTGCTGGTAACAAACATCCCTTTAGTTGGAATAACTACGCTCAAGAAGCTTTTGATGAATTAAAAAATGGATTTACAACTGCTCCTGTATTACACCTTCCAAATCCTTCATATCCTTATGTTTTAGAAGTAGACACATCTGAAAATGCTATTGGAGCAGTTCTCTCTCAACAAGACTCCTCAAGAGTCTTTTCTTTCAAGATCCTTAACCTCAGCCGAGAAGAATTATCCTATCGGAGAAAAAGAATTGTTAGGCATAAAAGTAGCTTTTGAGAATTGTCGTCACCTTCTAGAGGGAAATGAAATTCCCATCATCGTTTATACAGACCACAGGAATCTTGAATACCTCCATACCAACAAAACTTTATCCTCCAGACAAATAAGATTGAATCTTTTTTTTGACCGGTTCAATTTTCAAATAGTCTATAGACCTGGATCTCGTAACAAAAAAGCTGATGCTCTTTCCAGAATTCCTCGTAGTCCATCCTCAGAAGAGAAGGCCTTCTCAATATTGTCAAACAATAAATTTATTGGACTTACAACTACCATATTGGATGAACTCAAACAATTATCTCTTAAAGAACTTGAATTACCTTCCACTCCTAAATTGCTCAAAAAAGATGGAATCTTTTATTTCAAAAATAGGATTTATATTCCTCCAAAACTCCGGAATAAACCTCTAAAATTAATTCATGACTCTCCACTTGCTGGACATCCCGGGATTAAAAAGACAATTGAACTCTCAACTATACAATATTGATGGCCTCGTCAAGATAAAACCATTGAAACTTATGTTAAGTCTTGTCCAGTTTGTTAAAGATCCAAAGCAGAACATCACCTTCCTTACGGATTATTGATGGGGTTACCAGTCCCTGTGTGACCTTGGCAATCTATTATTATGGATTTTATGGTGGAACTCCCTCCTTCACACAAATAGACCACCATACTTGTTGTTGTAGACCGTTTCACGAAAATGTCTCATTTCATTCCCTTAAAAAAGTTACCCTCATCCAAAGTATTCATAGATAATATAATCAAATTACATGGATTCCCTGAAGAAATAATCTCAGACAGAGGTACCCAATTCACTTCACGATTCTGGAAGGAAATGTGTTCCTCTCTTCAAATCCAACGTAAACTCTCTTCAGCATACCATCCTCAAACCAATGGCCAAACAGAGCGAGTCAATCAATGTTTGGAACAATACCTTCGTTGTTATTGCACATATTTACAAGATGATTGGATTAATTGGTTACCTATGGCTGGATTTGCCTATAATAATTCCATACACTCAAGCAGCAAGATGACTCCATTCTTTTTGAATTATGGATTCCATCCCTCTCTGTTTCCCGATGATCCCAAGGCAACTTCTAACCCGATGGTTTCTATTCAAAATACGGAAATGTCCTCATTGTTTAATCAATTAAAGAAAAACCTTGAAAGTTCTATGGTCTTGCATAAAAAGAATTATAATATTAAAAGGAGAGCTCCTCCTAAATATAAAGTTGGTGATACAGTTTGGCTATCCTCAAGGAATATTTCTACAACCTGTCCTTTCCTTGGTCCTTTTCAAATTGAATCCATTATTAATGAAAGCGCTATGAAATTGAAACTCCCTCCTTCACTTAAGCTTCATCCTGTTTTCCATGTTTCCCTTCTAAAGCCTTTTCTCCCTGATCCCTTCCATAGAGAACAACTGTCAAAGCCTGACCCCATTATAGTTCAAGGTGAAAAGGAATATGAATTCTTCTGATGTACATGCTAAAAAGTTGATCTCTGCCTTTCACAAACGTTACCCTGATAAACCGAAGTAATAGCACCCTGAGTGTGCTCCTTAGGTGGGGGGGTCCTGTCAGGCCGTATCTGTTCCGGTATGCAGAGCTTTCTGTCGCGGCTCTCTTACTTATATAGAGAGACCGCGCCAGATTCAAACCGCTTGGTGATTCTCGGATCTACTTCCGCGTTGAACACTGGCTAAGCACTTCGCTCATAAACTACCGAACCTTGGATTATTATAAAGGATTTTTCCTCCTCAGTTCCTCTGACCAAGGACTGCATTGGATCTCTATTTGTCTCCTGAAAACCGGACTGTTTATGTATTTATCCCTTAGACTCAAGCTATTCATTCCCATGGAGAACAACTCCCATCAATCTTAAGTATACTATTTACTTTTACCTCTGAAGACTTACTTCCTAATGAACTGTTACTTGCATGCTATAACCTGCAGTCACTAAAATATTATTGCAATCCTTAAGTCTTCTCCTTTTCCACAAACTGCCTTCAACCACCTCTTTGCTTTAAAGTTACAGTATCCTTATTAATTAAAAGATTCTCCGCTTTCTTGCTATTGTAATTAAGGAGTTCTACAAGCTGCAGTTGAGTTCCAATTTCAAAATCCCTTGTAGCATAACAACTATGCAGGCAGATTCATCAGTAATCTGATGTTGAGGACAGGTATATTTTCATCATCCAGTCATCCAGAAAGCTAGTGAAATTCTTCTGTGTAAGGCTTCAGGAAACAGATGGATACAGCTAAAACTTTTATTAAACATAAATATAATAAAAGCAAGCACAACGCTTTTCGACCATAAGCATAGATCTTCCTCAGCTACATGTTAATACACAAGTGCGCAAACGCCCTTATATACCATTACAAAAATCGTAAGAAGTGTGTTCATTACTATACAAAAACACTCCCCTTTCCATATATGGAAGATGTCCCTTGCAGTTCTGCCCACTCAATATGGAGGATGGGCCATGCCGTCCCTTATAGACACTCATGACCCTCCCAAGATGGCCGCGGGTCCATTCCGGACTACGATAGCCAAATACTGTCCGTGGCTTGTCTTCGCGGTGGATGTAGGTGACGTCTTTCCAGTATCCATGCGATGCACATCCAAGGATCACCCACAATGGAAATTTCTGAAGTCCAACATCCTGTGTGATCCGAACGTCCCATAGTCTCAATATGTCGGTAGAGTTCAGACTAAAATTCATAGAGCTGTAGCCACTAGTAGTTGCCATCATCAGCCGTGGCTACAAAATATTCCTAAAGGCCAATTCTTAAGTTTGAAGAGAAATTGTTCGGACCAGACAGACTTTTTATTTTTTTTCAATTTGACAATTTTTATTCTTTTGTGGTACAGAAAGGAAAAAATGGGTAAGGGAAACAGGGAAAATTGCAGATAAGCCAGTTTTACAACACTTCAGTACATTACAGTGTTATGGTGTTATAGCATAACTTTATTCAGCTTCATCTGTGCAACTGTCTTTTCGTAACGGTAGGTGATCAACCTTAGTGTGGTGTTGTAGTATCGGGGTTGGGGCGGAGATTCGCTCCCTTTTAGGTGGGCCCTAAACCTCCTTTGGTGGCTGTCTGCCATGTGGGGTAAAGGGTAATCGGGGAAATTAACTGGGTTTAACCGTAAAAACTAGTATGTCTTCCCTGAGTTGTTTCTTTCTGCTCAGTCAATTTTGTTCTGTCTCTTTTGGCTACTGCTGAGGGACCCATCCCCGTCTAGGGACCCATCCCTCTATAAAGGCTGCCCATATTTCTTTTGTTGTGGTGCTCCCTTTGCCTACTTTTGTTTGTTGCCACACTATTGTATCGTATTCCAGTGTAGTGGAGACCAGTGTGGTTACTTCCGCTATGGAGGGGATTGTTGGGGTTTTCCAGTGGCGAGCTAATAATGTGGAGGCCGAGGAGAGGATGAGGAACATTAGTTTAGCCATACAGTGTGGCATGTTAATAGGCAAGAGTTTGAGTAAAAAGGTTTTGCATTCTAATATGCACCCTGTAGCGCCTCGTATGAGCTCTTCTATTTGTCTCCAGTACGGCTGGATTGTGGCGCAGGTCCACCAGATGTGGAGCATTGCTCCCTCCTGGGTTAGGCACCTCCAGCATCTGTCGCTCGTGTTAGGGTACATTTTCTTAAGACGTGCGGGTGTCATGTACCATCTATAGAGTAGTTTTCGAGATGACTCCATTCGTCCTGTGTGAGGTCACTGCCTATATCTTTGCCATTCAGCTTGGAACCGCCAATTGGGTTCAGTGTTGTGTGCAGTAATCAGTTTATAGCAAACTGACAGTGTTTTTTGGGTTGGGAGTTGGTGTAGGCACATCCTCTCAAAGGTAGTGAGAGTGGCGTCAAATGTGGGTGAGGGGTCCTCGTCTTTGGTGTCACCTATTAGTGCTTTGAGTTGCCAGTAGGAGAACGTTAGTCGCTGTGGTAGGTCGTGTGTGGACTGTATGTTCGGGAGCGGATGTAGGCCTTGTGGGGTGCATAGTTGGTGGAGGTGTGTGAGGTTGCAGGCCCCCCCACACTCTGTGTGGGAATGTATCGTTACATAGGTTGATTGTGTGTGTGTGTAGTGGCGTCGCCATGGACCACGGTCTGGCGGAGCAGAACGTGTCTCTGGATTTGTCCCATGTGTTGTACAGAAGTTTAGTGAGCGGGTAGTGTGCTCAGGGGTGTAAACCTTAACCATCTGGGTATCCACATAGCTGCTGCGAGGTCTGGTGTCCCTCCGCAGCTGGCCTCGATCTCCATCCATTGGGGGGTGTATGAGTTGGAGTGCATAGCCAGGATGTTAGCTGTTTGTGTTGCCAAGTAGTACACCTTAAGATTTGGGAATCCGAGTCCCCCTTTGTCTGTCGGGCGCATGAGTAGTGTTCTAGGGACCCTGGGATGCTTCCCTCCCCAGCTAAATTTAATCAGGCTAGATTGTAGCCTTTGTAGGTACCACTGTGGCAGGGGTATCTGCAGGGAGCGGAGCATGTAGAGGATTTTTGGTAGGATTGTCATTTTGATAGCCGCTATGTTGCCCAACCATGACAGAAACTTGTTCTGCCATGAGTGTAGTATGTGCTCTACTTCTTTGGCTAGTTTAATGTAGTTAGTAGCAAAGAGGTCTGTGTGTTTTTTGGTTAGTTTTATGCCTAGAAACGTGAGAGTCATCTCTCCAGTCGTATTGAAAGTCGGTATCTCTCTTCCTCTTCTTTTGAAATGTTTATGCACATGGCTTAAGTTTTAGTTAGGTTTAGCTGATAGTATGATTGCCTGCTGTAATCTCGTATTTCTTTGTGTAGGTTTGGGAGTGATATGGTCGGATTGGTGAGGGGTGAGTAGGATGTCCTCTGCAAATAGGTTCAATTTATATTCCTTGCTTCCTATGGTGACCCCTTTGATATCCTGATTGGTTCTGATAGCTATTGCTAGTGGCTCCAGGGCAAGCACATAAAGCAGTGGGGAGAGGGGGCAGCCCTGCCGTGTGCCGTTGGTAATTATGAATGGGGTGGAACTGAATCTGGAATTTAGCACTGTAGCTGATGGGGAACTGTATAGGGCCTTCACCACATTGAGAAATTCGGGTGGGAATCCATACCCGTGCAGCGCACTTTGCAAAAACCGCCAGTTAAGGCGGTCAAACGCTTTTTCAGCGTCCAGTGAGAGGAGTGTGCTTTGTGTTTTGGATCTGTTAAGGTTATGTAACATGTCTAGTACTTTCCTCGAGTTGTCTGGTCCTTGCCTGCCCGACACAAATCCCACTTGGTCTGTAGATATCAGACCCGGTAAGATTGTTTTTAAGCCTTTCTGCGTATACCTTGGCGTTCAGTTTGGCATCTGCATTTAGCAGAGAGATGGGCCTGAAGTTTTGGCATATTGTTGGTGGTTTTCCTGGCTTGGGCAGGGTGATAATATGGGCTGCAAGGAATTCGGTCGGGAGGATGCCCTGTTGCCTGACAGACTTTATTAATCAATCTTCTTTAAAAAAAAAAAAAAAAAAACAATAAAAAAAGTATTTGTGCAAAAAGGTTATTATGAGCTTAGTATCCCAAAAAACATTGATATCATCAATGAATTTGATCGATCACAATTATTACTATATAGAAAAGGCGACACAATAATTGAAGACAAATTCCACTCAATTTTATTTACTGTAGTAACATCGGCGTTCTAAAAAGAATTGTAAATAAAAATGAGCACATACTGAGACGAGCAGGATATTCAGGATTTTAAAGGAGACAAACCAAAATTCATTTTTACAGGGGCAAAAAATTTGAAACATTTTAATTTCTAGTTATGTTGAAAAAGTAAAAGGAAATAATTTTCTGGAGGATTGGTCCAAAAAACAAAGGTTTTTTTTACCACTGTGTCAATTGCAATGCTTGCAAAATTACTTTTATTACTTAGAAAAAAGGATTTTAATATTAAATCTTTTATCACATGTGAGTCTAAAAATTAAATTTATCTTCTGAGATGCACATGTGGCTTTCAATATATAGGGAAATCGTCTAGGTCACTGAAAACGAGTATTAATGAACATATCAGAAATATTAATCGGATTTTTAAACCACAGTGTGTCAAACACTTTTTAGATATACATAATAATGGAATTTATGGCAATTGAGAAAGTTAAGACTCATTGGAGGGGAGGAAATAGGGTTTTTAATTTAAATAAAAAAGAAATCAATTGGATTTTTGAGCTGCAGACTTTGTGCCATAAAGGGCTAAATATTGAGATTGGAACACTTCTCTAAGAAACCTTTTTTAAGATGCTTATTCCTTTTAATATTAAAAGGTTTTTATAATATACACCTTTTAGAGATATTTTTGTTTTCTTCTCTAGTTCCAGTATTAAGGTGTCTTATGTTTTCTTTCCGTGATTATTTTATGACTAATTTACTGTTTTATGCCCTGAATGCTTTTTCCCCTTATTATGCCCTTATCCAATATGGGGATCTATGAACTTTACTCTGAATTCTACTGACATATTGAGACTATGGGACGTTCGGATCACACAGGAAGCTGGACTTCATCCATTTTCATTGTGGGTGAACCTTATGTGGAACACATGGATACTGGAAAGACGTCACCAACATCTGCCGCGAAGACGAGCCACGTACCCATGATGATTGCGTTGTGGCGAAAGTAACCTCGCCACTGGTTTTTAGAGGGGCCTGTTTCCCAGCCTTCTGCCCTACGAGTGTGGCCCTTTAAGACCCGTCTGTAGGCACATTGTGACCTTGGTGAACAATGTCCCTTTAAGACTATGGCCCCTGGAAGATATTTCCTGTTAAAGACTATTTTGGCAGATTGGATTTTAAAAGACTCTTGCTGCCCCTTTAAATTGTATTGGAGCAGTTCTCCAGCTTTAATTTGGCACTTTGGATGCAGCCGAAGTGCCGGAGTAGTCGAAGTGGCCACCATTCGGCAAACTAACACGTGGCGGCGGCCATCTTTGTTCATTCGAACGAGGTCAGCGGTATGTGTAGCCAAATCCATGGAACTGAAATCGTCTACACATTTCAACGAACACCGCTGACCCTTACCTTCTCCTACACTCTGTTTGCTGCTGCAGAGACTAAGTCCCGTTCGAAGATTCGAATGCACATTCGAATGGGACTGTTACAAACTGCTATTTGTAACTTGCCCTTTAAATGGGAAATTGCCCTGCTTCCCTGGGTTGTGGAGAAGCCGATTTGCCAGCCTCCTTCCACATGACTATGGCCCCTGGGAGACTGTGAAAATGTATGCACTTTTATTTGGTGTGTATGGCCCTTTAAGACTGTCGGTGGGCATATTGGGGCTTATGGACTCTTTATGGGACTGGTGCTGGCCCTTTAAGCACCTTTTTGGGACATCAGGAAGATTGGGACACTGCCCCTTTAAGACGGTGTCCCCAGACTTGTTTGGGACACTGCCCCTTTAAGACGGTGTCCCCTGTGTCCCCAGACCTGCTTAAAACCCTTTGTGCCTGGTTATTTCCCACTTGGTTCAGTAAATGGGACTCACTGAACCAAGTACCACACAGGCAGACCACCCAGAAGTGGAAGTGTGCAGGCAATTTACCTCCCAGAAGCTGCGGTTAACCGCAGCTTAATTGACAATGCTGGGTGGCCTTTGTTCGTTTGACGAACACGTGGCGGCGGCCATCTTTGTTAATGTGAACGAGGTCAGTGGTATGTTTAGCCAAATTCATGGAACTAAAATCGGCTACACATTTCCGCGAACACCACTGAGCTCTACCTTATCCCACAATGAGTTTACAGCTGCAGAGACTAAGTCCCATTCGGCGATGGGACTTAGTCGTTTTTTCAGCCTGAAATAGACCGACCACACAGCCCAAATCTATGGAACTGTTTTGGGCAGGAAAATGTGCTTGCGGTCGGTCATAAAGGGACCTCCAGCTAACTTTTTAACCCCTGGATGGATTTGGCTGATTTTTGGTTAAGTTTATGTGTGCTGATTAATAATATGTAATTGTTATGAAGATTGGATGTGTAGTTTTAAAGTTACAGTGTATGGATAAAAACTGTATTTTTACTGCCTGTGTTTAATTATGTTAACCCATTGTGTACCATAATTAGATCACAGGCAGAGGGGAGGATTTTTGTGTGTAATTGCTGGGAGTGTTTCTGTAATGTACGTTTATTATTGGTTGTTGTGTAAAACCCTGTGGGTGGTCCTGTCTCAGAGAAACCTGCATAAAAGAAGGTTCTTTATGTGCCAATAAACAGAATGACTTGACCCTCTTACTTGCAGCCTTGACTCATGTTTGTAGGGGACAGCTATAATCACTACAGGGATTGCTATGCGCTTCATACTCCCTTAACTACTGAGCTCTTGTAAGAGCTCTTGTTCCTGTTCCTGCTTCGCTCTACAGAAGGAAGAGGTTCACCTACTGGAACCTGGAGCCTGGTCGTAGGTCCAGGGTGGATAGCAGACGGCGAGATCCTAGCCCAGCAGCGGTGGTTCGTGGAGTCTGCAGTACTTATGGTGGTCTACGCAGTACTTATGGTGTCTACGTTGCTGATGGTCCTTTGGCGCTAGGAGCATCCTTTCTACGGTCCAACTTTCAGCCAGCCTGGAGGCAACCCTAACAGGGACTTAGTCATTTTTCAGTGTGAATTCGACCGACCGCACAGCCCAAATCTATGAAACTATTTTGGGCAGGAAAATGTGCCTGTGGTCGGTCACAAAGGACATCCGACTAACTTTTGAACTAATGGAAGGATTTGCATGATTTTTGAGTATGTTTATATTTCAAGTATGCTGATTAATAATATGTGTTTTTTATGACGATTGAATGTATAGTTTTGGAGTTATGAAAGTTAGGTAAAAAGTATGTTTTAAAAGGTACGGATAATTGGGTTACCTTTTAGGCTAAGGGGAGGAGATGTGTGGGATGTCATTGTGTGGGTATTGTATAATTGTCTGTGGGTGTCTCCCTTACATGGGAGAATTGCATAAAAGCAGAGTGTGTGTCATTAAACCACAGTTCTTCTTCACCTTCAATCTAGAGTCTTGTCTCTTATTGGGGGAATTGCTATATCACTACAAGGTCACTACATGCTCCCTTGGATAATCACTTCTAAGCTCTTGTCAGAGCTGGTTCCTGCTTCACTCTCTTGGAGGAGAGGTTCACCCACTAGAACCTGGAGCCTTGTCGTTGGTCCAGGGTGGGTTGGAGACGGCGAGACATCAACCAAGCTGCGGCGGTTCGTGGGGTCTGCGATGGTTGTGGTGTCTGGCGGAGCGCTTGGAGCCCTCTGTAAGTGCTAGGAGCATCCTTCAACTGAGGTACCCAGTCGGGGTGCCAGGTGATCTGTTACACGCGTCACCGGACGTTATGTCATCAATGGAAGTATTTGGCTTTTGTGTTTAATAAAAGTTTTACCGGTATCCATCTGGTTCCTGAATCGTTATACAGAAGAATTAACTATCTTTCCGGAGGGCCAGATGATGAAAATCATATTCATATAATCAATTGTATACATATTGCCCTATGATGGTCTTTTATGTTTACAATGCATTGGTATTTTTTTATACCTGTATCCCGAACATTATATACCATTGTGTGTGCGCGCGATCACCTTATTCAAATTTTTATTGTACATATGTACTAAATGCTTTTTGTGACCAAGCACTTGTGTGATGTTTTAGCTGCACTGTTTTTTTTTTTTTTTTTTACTCACCTATATATATATTTTTATTGGATGGTAGAGCTACCTTTCCCTTTTTTTTTTTACCTTTTCACCAACTCATGGTGACAGAATGTCCGAAAGTCTATAAAGTGATACTGGGGAGTTGATGTAGGATGATCCCATGCACTGGATATTATTTATGTCTTCATTATAGGGTAATGCACTGGTACCTGCGGAAAATGGGCTTTGTCTGTCTCTTGACAAAAGAACTGATGGAAAGAGGCTGGCAATGGGACGAACCATGAAGCTGGTACTAGGGATCATTCACCTTATGAATGAGGTGAGTCTGCAAGACTATTACCCTCCAATCACATGTTAAATTGACCAGAGTACATCTAAAAATAGGTTGGTTGATCCACTAATGATTAGCTGTCAAGGGCTGCATTATATCAGATTTATTGACCACAGCTCAGTACTGTGTATCTATACAGAGAGTCACTAACCTTCCCCCACAAACCTACAATCTATTCCCTTTAAGAATATAGACCCACCAGGTATAGCTAACTGCAACCTAACCTACACAGTGCACCTAACGTGTGTGGGAGCCTGGAGTGTGCCTTTTAATAATATAAACCCACCAAGTATAACTGTAACCTAACCTACACAGTGCATATAACGTGCGTGATAGCCTGGAGTGTCCCTTTAATAATATAAACCCACCCAGTATAACTAATTGTAACCTAACCTACACAGTGCACCTAACGTGTGTTGGAGCCTGGAGCTTTTCTTTAATAATATAAACCCACCCAGCATAACTAACTGTAACCTAACCTACACAGTGCACCTAACGTGTGTGGGTGCCTGGAGTGTCCCTTTAATAATATAAACCCACCCAGTATAACTGTAACCTAACCTACACAGTGCACCTAACGTGTGGGTGCCTGGAGTGTCCCTTTAATAATATAAACCCACCCAGTATAACTGTAACCTAACCTACACAATGCAGCTAACGTGTGTGGGAGCCTGGAGTGTCCCTCTAATAATGTAAACCCACCCAGTATAACTAAATGTAACCTAACCTACACAGTGCACCTAACGTGTGTGGGAGCCTGGAGTGTCCCTTTAATAATATAAACCCCCCCCAGTATAACTGTAACCTAACCTACACAGTGCAGCTAATGTGTGTGGGAGCCCGGAGTGTCCCTTTAATAATATAAACCCACCCAGTATAACTGTAACGTAACCTACACAGTGTATCTAACGTGTGTGGGAGCCTGGAGTGTCCCTTTAATAATATAAACCCACCCAGTATAACTAACTGTAACCTAACCTACATAGTGCATCTAATGTGTGTGGGAGCCTGGAGTGTCCCTTTAATAATATAAACCCACCCAGTATAACTGTAACCTAACCTACACAGTGCACCTAACGTGTGTGGGAGCCTGGAGTGTCCCTTTAATAATATAAACCCACCCAGTATAACTGTAACCTAACCTACACAATGCAGCTAACGTGTGTGGGAGCCTGGAGTGTCCCTTTAATAATATAAACCCACCCAGTATAACTAAATGTAACCTAACCTACACAGTGCAGCTAACGTGTGTGGGAGCCTGGAGTGTCCCTTTAATAATATAAACCCACCCAGTATAACTGTAACGTAACCTACACAGTGTATCTAACGTGTGTGGGAGCCTGGAGTGTCCCTTTAATAATATAAACCCACCCAGTATAACTAAATGTAACCTAACCTACACAGTGCACCTAACGTGTGTGGGAGCCTGGAGTGTCCCTTTAATAATATAAACCCCCCCAGTATAACTGTAACCTAACCTACACAGTGCAGCTAACGTGTGTGGGAGCCTGGAGTGTCCCTTTAATAATATAAACCCACCCAGTATAACTGTAACCTAACCTACACAGTGTATCTAACGTGTGTGGGAGCCTGGAGTGTCCCTTTAATAATATAAACCCACCCAGTATAACTAACTGTAACCTAACCTACATGGTGCATCTAACATGTGTGGGAGCCTGGAGTGTCCCTTTAATAATATAAACCCACCCAGTATAACTAAATGTAACCTAACCTACACAGTGCACCTAACGTGTGTGGGAGCCTGGAGTGTCCCTTTAATAATATAAACCCACCCAGTATAACTAAATGTAACCTAACCTACACAGTGCACCTAACGTGTGTGGGAGCCTGGAGTGTCCCTTTAATAATATAAACCCCCCCAGTATAACTGTAACCTAACCTACACAGTGCAGCTAACGTGTGTGGGAGCCCGGAGTGTCCCTTTAATAATATAAACCCACCCAGTATAACTAACTGTAACCTAACCTACACAGTGCATCTAACGTGTGTGGGAGCCTGGAGTGTCCCTTTAATAATATAAACCCACCCAGTATAACTAACTGTAACCTAACCTACCCAGTGCATCTAACGTGTGTGGGAGCCTGGAGTGTCCCTTTAATAATATAAACCCACCCAGTATAACTAACTGTAACCTAACCTACACAGTGCACCTAACGTGTGTGGGAGCCTGGAGTGTCCCTTTAATAATATAAACCCACCCAGTATAACTAACTGTAACCTAACCTACACAGTGCATCTAACGTGTGTGGGAGCCTGGAGTGTCCCTTTAATAATATAAACCCACCCAGTATAACTAACTGTAACCTAACCTACACAGTGCATCTAATGTGTGTGGGAGCCTGGAGATTTGTCTCTAAAGTCTCCAAAAAAACAATATTCCTTCCTGAATTTTCTAAAATGAATTTGTCAGTTTTGTAACAAGAGGTGTGTGTGTATTGTATGGCCTTCATATTAATTAATTTATTTGTATTTTAGAGTCCATTGCAGTTTGATGACGTTGTTAACTTTTCGGAAGAAGAATGGGGGTGTCTTGAAAGAGAACAAAGATATCTCTATAATGAATTAATGACAGAGAATGACCAGACCCTGCAGTCCCTTGGTAATTACAATTAGTACAATAATACAATGGATATTTTTAGCAATTATGAAAATAATTTTTCAGGCAATAGTAAAGGAACAGAATAAACTCAATTAATACCCCCAATTCTCTAAATAAATACTACTTGTCACGATCTATGTAAGACCAATGTAGTATTCCAAATAAAATATCAGCAGATATAGGAAATTTTAAATGCAATCTTTGTATAAATTTAAGACACAAAAAAACTTAACAAATCTAAATCTTACGTTTTTGTACAAATGAATTAGCAAATATATTTAGAGGTTTGTAATTAGATCTTTAAATTCCTTTGGTATTCAGATAATCCCAATTAGCATCTTATTCCACAGTGCAGACCCCGTTATATATGGAAATAAATATAAAATGAAAGTGTGTTAAAAAGTATCTATCTCCCTAAAAATCAGACCTGAAGCGAGTTGCTCGGCTTCCCGGGTATTGTAATTTAAAGGACTAATTACAAAACTCTAAATATTTGCTAATTCATTTGTTCAAAAACTTAAGATTTATATTTAAGTTTTTTTGTGCCTTTTAAATTTCCTATATCTGACTATATTTTATTTGAAATACTACATCGGTCTTACATAGATCGTGACAAGTAGTATATGTATTTAGAGAATTGGGGGTATTGAGTTCATTCTGTATATGGTATATTGTAGGTTCTACACTTTTTTATTTTTTAAGTACTACTTATCTACTCTTTAAATTTGGCGCTCCACTAAAATCAAATATATTACAATAGTAAAGCCACACTCAAATTAAATATCTCTATTCACACGGTACTGTGCTAAAGATTTAGACACATGTTAAAAACTGCTATAACTTAAAGGACCACTCTAGGCACTCAGACCACTTCAGCTTAATGAAGTGGTCTGGGTGCCAGGTCCAGCTAGGGTTAACCCATTTTTTCATAATTATAGCAGTTTCAGAGAAACTGCTATAATTATGAATGGGTTAAGCCTTCCCCCTAATCCTCTAGTGGCTGTCTCATTGACAGCCACTAGAGGCGCTTGCGTGCTTCTCACTGTGATTTTCACAGTGAGAGCACGCAAGCGTCCATAGGATTGTTTTTCAACCCACATATTAGATTGATCATCATTAGCACTTGTTTAGTCCTCTTTGTAATTGTTCAATCATGCACCTGACTATAGCTTCAATTTAATATTTTTGGAATACGTTTTTCAAATGATATAATATTTTGAAAATGATTTAATATGTTTTGATATACTTTCTTTGAAAGTACTATAAACACAGATATATATTATTTTAGGTTTTTATAAAAAAATATTAAATTGAGGGCGGAGCCTGACCGGGGAGCTGAACAGACGCACTATCTGTGAGCTCCCGAGCCTAGACCCGATACTCGACGACAATCGTGGGAAAGCCTCACAATCCTGATCCACAACTTACTTCATCGTGTAATACCAAAGCTGGGGATCCCGAAGATACCACACACACCCGGTTTGCCCGCTGAATTGCCGGGTCGGAGGCTTGGGGCCTACACCATGCAAAGCAGGGGAGAGGCGGCCGCTCTCCCAGCTCACCAAAGCATGTGGCACCCGAAGCATCGGGCGTACCCTCCCTCCCTTGGACCGGTGGGGGTTATCCCGGTCCCAATCGTCCAAACCAGTCTGCCTAGAGGGTCGGTAAACGACAAGACAGGCCTAAAACGAGCAATAAAGCAGCAAACCACTCGCTGCCCTAAGATGGCGGACACGCAGCCCAACAAAGACCTTGCAGCACCAGAACCCAAACACAGCATCTGCGAATCCCTAGACACCCGCCTGGAAAAGCTGTTTGCAAACTTCTGGGCTAAAGTGGAGGCTCGACATGCTGCCGCACAAGCACAGGTGCAGGCGAGTGAGAGCTCAACCTGGAACATGGAAAGGGTCAACCACGGAGGTCCTGGGAAGTCCTCGGGCATAAAACGCACTGCACAGATCGCATCTCCCCACACAAGCCCATCCGGGCTGAGGGCCCCGAGGGGCAAAGCCCCGCTGCATCCCCCGCACAGGTGGAGGCCTGCACGCCACAGGCGGCGAAACACCACCGCAGCCTCCAGACCTACCTTTTCAAGGAAGGACCCGGCCTATATAAGTCCCCGAGTCCGCGGTGAAATGATGCTGGCCCCACAACAAGCCTGGAGCAGGAGGGCAATACCAGCATGCCTCTGGCGGTTCAATGACACTGGCGACCACCGTTCTAAGCAGGCAGACAAAGCCTCCAGATCGGGCATCGGCTGATACAAAACGGACTGACTCACGTAAAAGCGTATATGTTTTATTTTAACTTGTTTTATTTTATTTTAGGCTTGTTGCCACCTATGCTACCTATCTCTTAAATGCCATAACTAGTAGCCAACTAGCAAGCTAACGTATTGACAGTAAACACTCGAGTCTTAAAAACAAAAAATGGGCTGATACCGCATGCCACAGAATGTTTAAAATGTGTACTTCTTTTTGCCTGTGCTTAATTGGTCTGCCGTGTTCAAACTCTATAATGCATCTCTGTACGCTGTATCACGTTACTCATCTGATTACTCATGCATATCCAACCTAAACCGTTGCCCCCTGATGCATTGGTACCATTCTTGTCATACTACCCACCATGTTATTTTACTGTTGGGGTACCCTGCAATACTACCTTATGTTATTAAACCCAATTAGCTCTAACATACTTCCAGCTATAGATTCAATCTTGTATTACTCGCAAAAAATACATAAAATGTGCAATGTATGAGAAGCCAAACCATTGTTATTGATTGTTTGTTATTAGGCTAGCACTAGCTGTTGTGGCTGTGCGAATTTTGTCTGTTATCTAATGCACGACCAAAATAAAGAATTTAAAAAAAAAAAATATATATATTAAATTGAGGCCTACCTGCCTACAAAATCCCTGACACTGTGTAAGTGTACCTACATGAATTGATACCGTGTTAAAGACAATGACACACCAAATATTGATTTATATTTTTCCTCTGTTCACTCACTTTGCCATGTAAATCAAATCAATATTTGGTGTGCCTTTGTTTTCAATGAAGGCTGCAGGGGCTGCTCTCTGCAGCTTACGTATATGTTTCTGCATTTGTGAGTGGCCAGCAAAGAGGACTTAAATAGCAGGCCAGTTCTCTGGAGGTCTCATCCCCACCTCTACGACACCTTACTTATCCAAATCATTATTTCTTTTCAGAATGTCACAAGAATCCATCCCAATAATCTGTCTACTGTTGAACGAAAAACTCAGCACACCAGTCAGGCCTGGGTCTCCGAAGGAAATTCTCACCCTTTCTTTGTTCGTCCTATACATCCATACCCCTCATACAGCCCTATTTTGTCACCCAGCAACTCAGGACTAACATTAAGTACTCTGCCTTCCACTACAATACCTCTACACATGGCCCTCACCAAGCCTTCACTTCATACGTTTACACATGGTCCACTACGGGCACTATGGCAATACCGGCCCCTCATTTGGGCAGTTACTTACGTCAATTTCGGCCCCACATTTGGGCAACTACATACGTCTAATTTCTAATATACGAGGGATAAAGAATACAACCTTTCATACTACATTCCTAATATTACACACAACCTCGTTAGGCCCACGCATGTCATTCCCTCTCTCGGCACACACCCGAGAACCCGGTACCTATCACTATGTTTTTAACATATCCAGGCTTCTTGGGTCTGTCACAAATTTAACTGTTTAGTCCCTCTTACCACTCCTTCATCCCACGCACTAGACTGGGAGGCGGGCAGAAGGACAAGCGGGGCTGACCATTACTTTCCGGGCAAAGAGCGGGCGAGCTATGACTTTAATGCTGGGGTATGCTATTTTCACTACATACAGGGTATCACACATCCGCTTCATCTGCTCCAGAACTCACATCTAGTCCACATATACAGCCTGTCTGTCACCCAAGATACCCCTAACTAGGTCAACATTGACATGCTTGTATACTATCTGCATTTACACCAAGCTGGGCATATGGTAGATTCTGATGCCGGCATTCTCACAAAGGTCTCACACGGGCCTTGGCGCCAACCCCACGGGTACACTTGTATTATCTACATCTATTGACCCACTTACGGTGGACCACCTTCTGTCCACATCAATCATATGCTGGTTTCACGATCGGCCCTTTCCGGTCTTCACGTTTTCTCATCTTGGTGTACCACTCCCATCGGTGTAGCCATTCACAGTACCCAAATACGTTTGATCATAGACCTCTTCGCACCGCCCCTCTGCAGAAACCCTCTGCTGGCCGCTCCTAAATATATTCAGGTGTCCATCAGTCATCCACGTTCTGGATAAATTTTTGTTGATTTCACGGGTTCACAAACACCTAACAGTATTCACACCACTACACCCCCCATCCTTTTCAGTCGGTCCCTCTTCCAGGCTTGCTTTCTGAGGCATAGTATTGGACTCCACTACTTCTCAAGCCAGCCTCCCAGACGTTCTGTTCTGCATTAGGAATGGATTTGTCCTGCTCCTGCTGAGTGTTGCGCACAATAGGAGGGGGCCTCAGTCCTGGTTTAGGCTCCTCAACTTTGTTGTGCGTATCATTCCGCAGGGTTGGTCTCTTGTCCCCGGACTACTTAAATTTGCTTCATGAGGTACCAACCCCTGCCCAACCATTCGGGTGATCCAGCCAGGGCAGTTTTACACAATTGGACTAGTTTTTCGGCCGCATGGATTGGGATCTCGGTCATTCCCCCACTTTCAAAACACTCACTTTCTATTCACACAGACACAGCAGCACACACAGGGTTTGCAGCCTTTTTTTCAGCAACCACTCGTTAGGGACGCCTGGCCCACTGAGTCGGATGCCTTGCCGGCCTTTGGAGAGACCTCTACTTTGTTGGAGATATCTACCCTTTCGCGGTGGCCTCCCTCACTCTGGGTCATCTTTGGACCGGCAAGGCAGTGGAATGCTGCTCTGACGACTCCACAGCCTGCGATTTCATTAGCAAGGACGGTCATACTCACCGCCACTGTGGCTGATTCAGCAGACAGCAACCCCTCAGCTCTTTCTGGTCTACGTTTACATTCCTGGTGTCTACTACACAGCCGCTGACACTCTCGCACGCTCTCATTTTAAGGTCTTCTTTCAGGCACTCCCTATGATCCACTACATGTCATCCGGGATACCACCATTCCATGAGCTAATCTTGGACTAAGCACACAATTACACCACGTACAGGTGCGCTTGCTTCACACAGTTTCACTACTACTCTATCACTCACGCCAGGGCCTTGTATATTGTACATGTCACAGTTAGAGTTTGCTTGAATTTTGCGGTGAGTTTTGCAGTTAAATATGGTTTATTTTTTTGCCTCTTTCTCCAAACCTACAAATCCAGCATCTTACTTAAACCTCCTATGCTGTCACTCCGCTTTATGTCTCCAAGGTCAACCATACACTATCATTCCTAATCCACGTCTAAACCTTCCATTAGGGTGGAGCTACATCATGGCTTCCTTCACTGGCCTCTCTGTCACAAAGCGCTGCATCAGCAGCTTCAAGCTCTTACACCCCACTCTACATCACTAAGTGTCGGGGCCACGGGCAATCCTCAGCGCAGTTACATATATACCTCAATCAGAGTAAAAGCTCCTCACAAGCTTTCAGTACCCACGCTGTATAAACTTGCATACATTGTGTTTTCTTTGAATCCTCTTTTGCCCTCTTTTACAGGCCTACTCGTACGTTGGTTTCGGCACACCTCCCAACTTTACTACTTCTTCTACATCCCATTACATATTAGATAAATTCCGAGCACAAATATATATATATATATATATATATTGTAACGGACCGTTTTGCACAAAAGGGGAAAAAAACGTTTAGGCGATCGACCCCCTTTTCGGAGATGCAGGCACAGCTACTGCAGAACACCAAACACACGAACCGCCAATAAGTGAATGCTCCAAACTCCCGAATGGCATCCAATATAGCACTCCAAATACACGAACAGGAACCATATGAATTGCTGCTACCAGACGAATAGGAAAAGCATCCAAGCGGCTTACACTCCTAGCAATCAGTCTCTATCAGCATTCAGTAAATCCCCCAAAGACGAGACAAGGCTCCGTGTTGAGGGTCAAGCAGTGGTCTGTTTAATGAGGGCTACCTGCCCGGCTTTTATGCAGGTCTCCCACCTGGTGGACACTCCCCTATGGGACCAAATGGGAGACTGTAAAACATATTGGACAGTAGCCAATCGCAGTGGCTTCAATAATAGCCCTTCCCATCTTACCCATAAATCCGTCTTCTCTACCCCGGAGATAATTAGGAAGAAACCTAATTATCTCCCAAGGTAGAGACAATCGCCATTTTAACTTACAGTAATAAAAATACATTAAAATACATAACTGAAGAAATACCGAATGCATATAGTTCGTGTAACGTATCCCCAGACAGCCTGGATCTGAGTGCATGTTTTCACTGAATAGCGCTCAGATCCGATGTATCTAGTCGAATCGCCATGGAGTCAAAGTCTTTCACCAGTCCTTCGGTATACGAATGACTCCATGGGACGGCTGTCTGGGTAAAAGTCCATACGAATGAATAAAAACTCCTGAACGACCGACTTTCGCATGCCTTGTCGAAATGGAAGGTAGGCAGCAGCTTCCAGCGGTGTTTGGTAGTTTAAGTGTCCGTTTTTAGTTCCATACAGTTTGTACCGAACACCGCTATGCGTTCGTATGTCCCAAAATGGCCGCTGCCTCGTGGTCGACATGCGAACGACGACCACCCATACGAATGGAATGGAGAGGTGTCTGCGGTTAACCACAACGCTCTAATTGGGGCCAAGAGGTTAACCAGCAGCACACTCCTCTCCTGGGTGGTCGTTCGTTCGGTAGTTTCAATCGGTAGTTTGCAAATTACACGAACGGGGGTATATGAACAGGCAATCCAGCGAACAAAGGGAAACAGACGAACCAGCAATACAGATGAATCTGTCACACGGCTCCCCCCTTGTGGGACACTCCGGCAGACCCGGCTTGACCCTTTGGCGGGTCAACGTGGGGATGACCGGACTAAGATGGGGTGAGGATGTCGGTTTGCCTGGACAATCCATCTGCATTCCCGTTCTGCTTACCGGGTCGATAACTGATGGTGAAGTTATAGGGTTGAAGGGCTAAACTCCACCTCAGCAGTCTACCATTGTCTCCTGAGACCCGGTTAAGCCAGACAAGGGGATTGTGGTCCGTCACCAGGGAAAATTCCTGTCCATATAAATACGGGCTTAACTTTTTCAATGCCCATACCAGGGCCAAACACTCCTTCTCCACTGCCGCATAACTCACTTCTCTGGGTAACAGCTTTCTACTGAGATATGCGACAGGGTGCTCTCCTCCATCTTCCCCGACCTGGCTCAGCACAGCCCCCAGTCCATACATGGAAGCATCTGTATGAACGAGAAAACGTTTGTTAGGGACTGGGGCAGCCAGGACAGGGGCATTCACAAGAGCTTGTTTGAGTGCTTGAAACGCAGCTTCACAAGCTGGAGACCACAGGACCTGTTTAGGGAGATTTTTCTTTGTCAGGTCAGTCAGGGGTTTAGCAATAGTGCTGTAGTCGGGGACAAAGCGTCTATAGTACCCTGCTGTCCCTAGGAAGGCTAACACCTGGGTCTTGGTGATAGGTGTGGGCCAGTTAGCTACTGCCTCTATCTTGGCTGGCTCTGGTCTCTGGCTCCCACACCCTACTCTGTGACCCAGGTACTGCACTTCAGCCATGCCTAAATGGCACTTCTCTGGCTTCAATGTCAGGCCAGCGGCCCGAATCTTGTCCAGTACTACCCCTACATGTACTAGGTGTTCTTCCCAGGACTCACTGTAGATCGCAATGTCGTCCAGGTATGCACAAGCAAATTCCTGGAATCCATCAAGAAGTCTATCCACCATACGCTGGAAGGTAGCCGGTGCATTCTTCATCCCAAATGGCATGACCTTAAATTGGTACAGGCCAAATGGGGTGACGAAGGCCGACTTGGGGATAGCATGCTCGGCCAGGGGAATCTGCCAGTAGCCTTTGCACAGGTCTATGGTGGTCAGATAGCGTCCCCTGGCAATGCGATCTAATAATTCATCTACCCGGGGCATTGGGTAGGCGTCAGTGGTGGTCTGCTTATTGAGACGCCTGTAGTCCACACAGAACCGGGTGGTCCCATCCTTCTTGGGCACCAGGACTACAGGCGAGGCCCAAGGGCTATCGGAGTGTTCGATGACCCCCAGCTGGGTCATCTCCTGTATCTCCTTCCGCATTCCTTCCCGGACTGCTTCAGGGATACGGTAAGGGGGTTGTCGCAGAGGGTTCTGTCCAGGGGTTTCTACCTTGTGTACAGCTAGGGTAGTGTAACCAGGTTCTTGGGAGAAGGTCGCCTGCTTTTCCCACAGAAGCTGTCTTGCCTGGCCCTTCTCGGTGGAGCTCAATCTGTCCCCTAGCTGTACCAGGCTAGTAAGATCCGTCTGGGGGTCCCTCTCTAACAGATCTGGTAAGGGTAAACTTTCTGTATCATCTGCAGCAGGGGCACATACTGCAGCGACATTCTCTGGTCTCTCCTGATACTCCTTTAGCATGTTCACATGGAAGGATCGCTGGATCCCTTCATCTGAACAGCTGGCTATAAGGTAGGTAGTATCACATATCTGTGCTAACACCTTATACGGGCCCTGCCAAGATGCCTGCATCTTGTTTGCCTTCATAGGTTTGAGTACTAACACTTTCTGCCCAACCTGGAAGACTCGCTGTCGGGCACCCCGATCGTACCACCTCTTCTGTCTCCCCTGAGCCACCTGGAGATTCTCCCTTACCATTAGGGACAGTTTCTCCATGCGGTCCCGGAGTTCCAGAACATACGGTACTATGGGGGTCCCTTCCTGCTCTGTCTCCCCCTCCCAGTGGCCTCTAATGAGATCTAGGGGTCCGCGGACCCTTCTCCCATATAGCAACTCAAGGGGGGAGAACCCAGTAGATTCCTGAGGCACCTCTCTGTAGGAAAACAACAGATGAGGCAGGAATCGCTCCCAGTTTCTGCAAGTGTCAGAAAAGGTCCTCAGCATCTGTTTGAGGGTACCGTTAAATCGCTCGCAGAGACCGTTAGTCTGTGGATGGTAAGGTGAGCTAAGCAGCGGTTTAATGCCGCACACCTTCCACAGTTGCTGGGTGAGCACAGCGGTGAATTGGGTTCCCTGGTCAGAGAGAATCTCTTGAGGGAACCCGACTCTGGTAAAAATCCTAACCAGGGCATCAGCAACTGTCTCTGCCTCTATATTAGACAGCGCTACTGCCTCTGGATAGCGAGTGGCATAATCCACCACGGTGAGAATATATTTCTTACCGGATGGACTAGCCCTGGCCAGTGGACCCACAATGTCAACGGCTATGCGGGCAAAGGGCTCCCCAATGATAGGCATAGACATAAGCCTAGCTCTTGGGTGGTCCCCCCGCTTTCCTACCCGTTGACATGTTTCACACGTACTGCAGTATGTCCGAACAGCCTGATTAAAGTTTGGCCAAAAGAAGTTCTGCATGATCCTATAGGCTGTGCGGCGGGAACCTAGATGTTCAGCTAGGGGAACATCATGCCCTATCCGCAGAATCTCCTGCCGGTATTTTGCGGGCACCACCAGCTGTCGATTCGGCGGAGGGGCAACACTTTTCGGGGAAAGCTTCCCCAAGCTTTCCCCGAAAAGTGTTGCCCCTCCGCCTATACAACCTGTCCCCCACCCACTCATACCGTTCCCCATCTAATCCTTCCTCTCCAGTATCTGCTCTGTCCCTATACTTCTGGAGTGTCGAATCTGTCTGAGTTTCCCTCCCAAACTCCTCTGGGGAATCCCAGCTAATAAAAGTCTGTTCTAGGGTACCAGTCGGGGACTCGGTTCTTACCTGGGTCTCAGCAGCAGGTGGGCTGGTTCCAGCAGCACGGGTCTGGGCACGGGTAGTCACTGGGTTGATATCGGCAGGTCCCATTGGCGCATAAGCGGACACCAAAGGGGCCAAGTCATTCCCAAGCAAAACATCAGCAGGCAAGTCTTTCATGACCCCCACATTCACGTGTCCAGAGCCCACCCCCCAATCCAAGTGAACCCGGGCAACTGGTAAACGGAACACTGCACCTCCCGCCACCCTCACTGCCACAGTATTTCCAGTGTGTTGGTGTTCTGAAACAAGGTTCTTTTGGAGCAAAGTCATAGTGGCTCCGGTGTCTCTCAGACCAGTTACTGCTTTGCCATTCAGTTTAACGGTCTGCCTGTGCTGTTGACGGTTATCCTGCTGCGCTGCTTGTACTGGATCCGCCTCATGTAGTATACCCCAAAATTCCTCCTGCTCAAGACAGTGAGCGGAAGGTTGGGGTGGCTGCTGTTTTCCGCCGGCTGGTCTTCTCCACGACTGGGCTTGGCTGGAATTGTTTAGTGGGCACTCGGGTCGCTTGTGCCCCAACTGCTTACACCCATAGCACCGGATAGGCTGTGAGTAATCCCGGGCGTTGAACCGGGTTGGCTGAATATAATTGTTCGCTGTTGGCATGGTGGGGGCGCGTTGCGCTGGGTGTTGGTACACTGCAGTGGTTGGAGGGGCCGCTGGTTTGTACTCCACTCGGGTAGGGACCTTGGCTGCTGTCTGGTCCAGTTTCCTGGCATCAGTGTACTCATCAGCCAGACGAGCAGCTTCGGGTAAGGTAGTGGGTTTACGGTCCCTAACCCATTCTCTGACTCCTGCAGGTAAGCGGTCAAAGCAGTGCTCCAACAAAAATACTTGCAGCACTTCTTCCCCAGTTACCGCTTGGCACCCTGCCATCCAGTGGGCTGCTGTGCGGTGTACTCGGCATGCCCACTCAACATAAGAATCAGCAGCCTGCTTGTTAGTGTCCCGGATTCGCCGCCGGTATGCCTCAGGGGTCACAGTGTATCTGGCCAAAAGGGCATCTTTCACTGCACTGTAGCTGGTAATTTCCTCCTCTGGGATGGCCCGAAACGCCTCACTGGCCCGGCCGGATAACTTCCCAGAGAGGATGGTGACCCATTCCCCTGCGGGTACCTGGTGTAAGGCACATTGCCTTTCAAAATCAGCCAGGAACCCATCAATTTCTCCTTCGGCTTCTACAAAATTCTGAAATGCAGCAAAAGGTACTTTTCTTCTTCCATTATTATTATACGGTACCTCAGCTGCTGCAGCGCCTCTTCCCTGAAGCGCCTGTTGTGCTGCTACTGCTGCTTGCACTTGAACCACAATATCTGCTGCGGGGTTGGGGCCAAAATGTGCCAGCCTGATCTGAACTGCCCGGTTAAACTGTATCTCCTCGGGTGTTAACTCCAGTATGCCAGGCACATCAGCTCTTCCCGTTCCCTGTGCTGCATCCATTTCCAATAATATGGCAATAATCTCTCTTTTCTTGAGATTACTCGCTGATCGTCCTCTGCGTTCTAATATATCTTTAAGGGTAGCACGCCTTAACTCTTCATACTGCATTTCCAACCTGGGATGTGTAGCTGGCCTTCTGGGCGGTAGGATTCATCCCGTCGCTTGCCACCAATTGTAACGGACCGTTTTGCACAAAAGGGGAAAAAACCGTTTAGGCGATCGACCCCCTTTTCGGAGATGCAGGCACAGCTACTGCAGAACACCAAACACACGAACCGCCAATAAGTGAATGCTCCAAACTCCCGAATGGCATCCAATATAGCACTCCAAATACACGAACAGGAACCATACGAATTGCTGCTACCAGACGAATAGGAAAAGCATCCAAGCGGCTTACACTCCTAGCAATCAGTCTCTATCAGCATTCAGTAAATCCCCCCAAAGACGAGACAAGGCTCCGTGTTGAGGGTCAAGCAGTGGTCTGTTTAATGACCACAACCGCAGTAGCTTAACTGGAGCCTCGCCCGGCTTTTATGCAGGTCTCCCACCTGGTGGACACTCCCCTAGGGGACCAAATGGGAGACTGTAAAACATATTGGACAGTAGCCAATCGCAGTGGCTTCAATAATAGCCCTTCCCATCTTACCCATAAATCCGTCTTCTCTACCCCGGAGATAATTAGGAAGAAACCTAATTATCTCCCAAGGTAGAGACAATCGCCATTTTAACTTACAGTAATAAAAATACATTAAAATACATAACTGAAGAAATACCGAATGCATATAGTTTGTGTAACGTATCCCCAGACAGCCTGGATCTGAGTGCATGTTTTCACCGAATAGCGCTCAGATCCGATGTATCTAGTCGAATCGCCATGGAGTCAAAGTCTTTCACCAGTCCTTCGGTATACGAATGACTCCATGGGATGGCTGTCTGGGTGAAAGTCCATACGAATGAATAAAAACTCCCGAACGACCGACGTTCGCATGCCTTGTCGAAATGGAAGGTAGGCAGCAGCTTCCAGCGGTGTTCGGTAGTTTAAGTGTCCGTTTTTAGTTCCATACAGTTTGTACCGAACACCGCTATGTGTTCGTATGTCCCAAAATGGCCGCTGCCTCGTGGTCGACATGCGAACGACGACCACCCGTACGAATGGAATGGAGAGGTGTCTGCGGTTAACCACAACGTTCTAATTGGGGCCAAGAGGTTAACCAGCAGCACACTCCTCTCCTGGGTGGTCGTTCGTTCGGTAGTTTCAATCGGTAGTTTGCAAATTACACGAACGGGGGTATATGAACAGGCAATCCAGCGAACAAATGGAAACAGACGAACCAGCAATACAGATGAATCTGTCACATATATATATATACACACACACGCACACTTTGACAGATTAGTTTGGAATCTAGCAGCCAGCTAGAAAAGTTAGGAGCCAGAGAAATCAACGTCAAAAATACAATTCTTAAAGGGACACTATAATCACCAGAACCACTACAGCTTAATGTAGTTGCTCTGAAGTCTATATCCTGACCCTGAATGCTTTTAAATGTAAACACTGACTTTTCAGACAAAAGGCAGTGTTTACATTGCTGCCTGGTGACACCTCTATCGACAGTCACACAGATGGCCTCTAGAGGTGCAGCACTGTGCAGCACCTATGTTAATGTTCACTATACGGATGCATTGATTCAATGCATCTCTATGAGAAGTTAAATTGGCGCAGTGGCATTTTGCAGTGCATGCGCAATAGTCTCCCAATGCTTTGCTATGAGGAAGCATTGGATTGGCTGAGAGCATCAAGATTGAGGATTTCAGCCATGGAGGTGGGGCCAGCCACAGCATGGAAAAAAGTTGAGTAAAAAAACCAAAACCTTTCCCATGTGATTGGGGGGGAACACAAACACTTACTGACCGACTCAGACTCACTCACAGACAGACACAGAAACACACTCAGACCGACACTCCGACAGACACACACTCACAGACATACTCACCAGAGTGACATCATAACCCAGCTCCGTGAATCACAGCAAGCTGCGCAAGGGAGCAGAGCAGGGAGATTACAGCTCCTTCGCCCGCCTCCCTCTGCTCTCCATTACCCAGCTGCTCCCTTCCGTCAGCTGCCCACCTTTTCTACCACAGTTCTCCATGGGCCAGCCACCCCTCTCTCTCCCTCTGCAATAAATGAGCTGGCTGCCCAATTTCCTCTGTCAGCTGCCTGCCTTCCTCCCACAGCTCTCCATGAACCGGCTGCCCCATCCCTCCTTCAGCAGCCTGCCTGCCTCAGTCCTCAGTCCTCAGTGATCCCAATGCCTGCCTCTACTCTCAGACAGCCGATCACCGTGGGGGCTGAACATATATATATTTTGATATAATACACATATATTAATATACATTTGTGCAAGTATATAGATGCATAATGTGACGAAGTGCCCTTCGCCACTTTGTCCTGGAGAGGCCTGCTTGCATGCCTCCTGCCCTGCGACTATGGCCCTGGGATGTATTGCCCTTTTAGGAACTGATGTGTGCATACTTGAGGCTTATATTGCTGTTTCTGGCCCTTTAATGCCCAAAGAAAGGATTTGTACTTTTAAACTGGCACTTCGGATGCAGTCGAAGTTGTCGAAGTCATCAAAGTGGCCGCCATTTGAATGGCGGCGGCCATTTTAACTCATTCGAACGCGGTCAGCGGTGTGTGCAGCAAAATCTATGGAACTGTTTTCGGCTACCCAATTGCACGAATACCGCTGACCCGTACGTTCTGCTCTACTTCGACACTGCGGCTGGAGACTAAGTCCCGTTCGAAGATTCGAACGCTAGTTTTCTCGGTGTCATTTCTCATTTTCTCGGTGTAAAATAGACTGACCGCAGAGCCCAAATCCATTAAACTGTTTTGGGCATGAAAACGTGCTTGCGGTCTTTCAAAAGTGACTTATATGTATCTCTCGAATGGCTGAACGGATTCAAATGATTTTTGGGTATGTTTGTATTTGGAATGTGCTGATTAATAATATGTGACTTTTATTAATATTGGATGTATGGTTTTAGAGTTATGAAAGTTTGGTAAAAAGTATGTTTTAAAAGGTATGGATAATTGGGTTACCTCTCAGACTAAGGGGATGAGATGTGTGGGATGTAACCATTGTGTGATTGGGTATTGTATAATTGTCCATGGACGTCTCCCTTGCAGGGGAGAATTGCATAAAAGCAGAGTGTGTGTCATTAAACTGGAGATCCTGTTTGACCCTCAATACGTAGCCTTGTCTCGTTATTGGAGGGAACTGCTATATCATACTGGGGATTGCTATGCTCGGCATACTCCCCTGAGCTTTTAATCACTTGGCTCTTTTAAGAGCTTGTTCCTGATACGCTCTCCTGGAGGAGAGGTCTTTCCCACACGGTCCTGGAGGACAGAAGCTGATCCAGGGTGGACGGAAGACGGCGAGGCTCCAGTTAAGCTACTGCGGTTGTGGAGTCTGCGGTGGTTGTGGTGTCCAGTGCGGTGCTTGTGGTCCTCGGCACAAGCTAGCAAGCGTCCATTAACGGAAGGGTCCGTTACACATAATAGTCCCACAAATCACCAAATCTATCAAAACTATATAGAACTATATATATAATTTTTTTTCAATTCAATTTATTTTAATTAAAAAAAAAAAAAAAACAGACACATGGATTTTTAATTAATAAATACTCACTGGCGTGTAGTCACTGATGCCCATACATACTGACATATACTCATCAACAGACACTGGCACACAAACTAATGCCGCATCCCATACAGACACTGGCACACAATCACTAATGCATACACACTCCCTGACATACACACACATTGATCCATACTGACACATTGATCCATACTGACACACACACACACACACACACACACACATTTGTAACGGATCACCTGGCACCCCGACTGGGTACCTCCATTGAAGGATGTTCCTGGTGCTTCCTGAGGACTCCAAGCACTGCAGCAGACACCACAACCACCAAACCTCAGAAGCATACAAATGCTCTCAAGCATGTGAATGTTGTAAGCAGCTGAACAGGAAAAGCATACAATCAGCTTACACTCCTGGCAATCAGCATACAATCCAATTCCCCCAATAACGAGAGGACACTTCGTTTTTAGGTCAAGCAGAACTACCTGTACTGGCACATACAGCCTCTTTTATTCCCAATCCACAAACATAGTACTGCCCACAGGGTTTTACATTACAACCAATCAATCCGAACAATACACACAGACACTCCCACACAAAATCCTCCCCTCTGCCTGTGATATGATTGCTGAACACAATGGTTAATCTAATTACCACAGGCAGAGAAATACAGTATTATAAAACATATCACAGGGACCCCAAAACATGCAATACCCCCATAAAAAGTATCTGGGTGAACCACATATTCAAAATTTTACCCAGATCCGTTCAGTAGTTTGGAAGATACAGTTTAATGCAGATTCTGCAGAACATATACAGACTATATGAAAAATAATTACTGTACAATGTGTACCCTGTTGTATAGTTTAAAACTACTGCACGATGTCTTTGTGCACCAAATACTGGCAAGATGGCACTGTGTAGAAAGTCCAAACAGTGTCTGTGAGTTAAAATGGCCGCCATCCATTGTTCTCACCATGTGCTTCATCCATTTTTCTCACCATGTGCCTCTGATACATGAAATGGTGGCCACCCAGTAACTCCACAGTATGTCCCCAGATAGTTCTTAAAGGGCCAGCAGCAACATAATAAAATACAATATGCCCAAATACTGTATTTAAAGGGCCAAATCTCCCAGGGCCATAGTCAGCAGGCAGGAGGCAGGCGAACAGGCTTCTCCAATGCCCAGTGGCTAGGTTGGTTTCGCCACACTTCTCAACCACCGAGGTTCAGCTTCCAGGTAGGCCAGAGCCCAAGATATAGACCACTTCCCCACGCTGCCGGACTTTCCACTGTTAAGTATTACTGCAGTCGTGCAGGAGGTTAATGATGAGCATGCAGGCTATAATAAAGCTGTGTTACCTTTAGTGTTGAAGATTGTGAACCAAAAGTCCGCTAATAAGGTATAATTCAAGATTCTTCACAGACCTCAGACAGAGTACGACCACTCATCATGGCAGTCATGCCCTGCCCCTCGCCCCAGCCAGATGTCTTCTATCTTGACCTTTATCAAACACAAATGCAATATCTGATTAAGAACATTGTGTTTGTACACTACAGTATTTTGTTTATAAAAAATTCAGTCTCAGAAAGTTTATTTTATTGCTCAATCTAAAAAAAACAAATAACCTTAATTTATTTTTCAGCAACATTTCCAGTGAAAACAGAGGTTGCACCAAGGATTATAGAGCAAAACATTGACCAGGGAGATCAGCGCACTTCTGACAATGCAGCCTTTCCAGACATGGGGATCGATCCCTGCTTCACAGCTAACTCCAAGATCAATTCCTTCACAGATCTCTCCCAAACTACCTTCCTCGATGCCTCTAAGGATCTCCCCCATGATATGTATGTAAATAACACAGCCAGCGCTAATCCTTTCACAAATCACCCTGAGATTTGCCCAGCATCCTCCCTTCCCACCTTCCCAGAAAGCTTCCCAGATTCGTGTAAGGATTCCTACCTGGGTATCTACCCTGGGACCTTCTCTGAGAGTGGCACGGTTACCTGTCCTGACACCTTGCTCAATGGCTTCCAAGCTGCTTACTCCACCCCCTCAACAGAGCCCTTCCCAGGTAAGTGTCCTTGGCTTTAATGTATATTATATCAAATCCCTGCATTTTCATATTATTTATATAGAATTATTTTATTTCTAGAACAACTTTGATACACCCACACTGTTCTAGAACAAACTGTTTTGTCATTAACCCCTTCTTTTCCAAACTATAGAAACACACCAACAGTGGTTTTCCCTTACAAACAATGCAAAGTGATATTAAGTAATTAGAGCTCAACTTTCATCCCTTTTCTCCAGTGTTAAGTTTGTAATTAACATGTTTTACTGATTTATATTATGTACATTTTTTGTGTATTGGTACAAAAATAGAAAAAGAACCTGAGAATCAGTTTAACCTGTAATAACCCAGTGAAGAGACAACAAAAACAAGGCAAAATAACCAGGAATCAGATTTTGTCCATCTATGCATTACAGTAAAGAGCCTGACATTATAATAGCTGACCTGGTAAAGAGGCAAACAAATTTTGCTCTCTGGAACATTTACCATATGGCTGTGCAATCAAGCACTGGCTGTCCGGGCTCTTGCTCCCACGCCGCTCGCGGCGACCTTGCTTACCTCATCACAGCGAGCAGTGTCATTTGGTCTCTATCTCCAGGCAGGCAGTGTGCCTGATGCTGCACGCTCCAGAGCAGCTCCTTATATGTGTGCTGCACTCTGTCATGTGACCCGGCACACAGTGATGACCTCCAACCCCCAAGGTAGAGAAGAAACTCCTCCCACGTGTTGTGGTTAACACTAATTGGAGATTAGCCATATATACAAAAGCTAACCCCTCTCTTCCCTCAGTGCCCTGTTGGGGTTTTTGGTTTAGTATTAAACGTTACACTTGTTATTTGGATTTCCTGGTTACTGATATTTGGCTTTGTCTTTCGTTATACCTCAGAGAGGTACCCGTTTTATTAGATGATCTCTGTAACGAAACCCCTGTTTGGACAGGCTCAGGGAAACAGCATTTCGTATAATATTCGTATGTTTGGCTATTTCGTGTTGTTTGTAAAAGAGCTGAACAAACTCCTGAACAACCCGACCCCCCACCAAGGTCATGTGCAGCTCATTAACCACCCAGACCTTGCGGTTAACGCAAGTAATTGTTGAAAGCCTTGGTGGTCTGCGTTCGTTTGCCGAACATGTGGCGGTGGCCATTTTAAAATCGACAAATGCTCAGCGGTAGATGGTCGTGGACGCCATGGAACTGTTTTCGGACACTTATTTAGCCGCACACCGCTGAAGCGTACCAAGTTCCAGTCATTCGTCTAATAACTCACAAACACTCTACCGTTCGGGACTTTCCTACCATACGAACTAGACCGACACCAGGTAGCTGCAGTTATGGAACTCTTTTCGGAATCAATTGCACGAACAACCGGTGAACTAAAAACTTTACTCGACGGTATTAAGTATTGAGTACTGTGTTCGTGGGATCTGAGCGCTATTCGTCTATATTGTGCGCTCAGATCCAAGCTATCTGGGGGTATGTGGAACAAGGAGACTAAGTTCGGCGAAATATAAGTTATGGATTTTAATACAGTTTTGTAAAAATGTAAAAAGGACACGTTTCTCTCTACTTGGAGATAATTAGGTTCTCTCCAACCACTTAAGTTAATTATGCCCAGGATAGAGAGGAGGGGTTGCACTGTTACTGTGGGTGTGTTTAATATTTGTACTATAAACTGATTGGTTCTGTATTTTGTGTCACAGTTTTCCACAAGGTCCCCTGGGAGACCATCATAAAAGGCAGAGTGTGGCCAGCATTAAAACAGATCGTTTTACCCCTTCATGAAGTCTCGACTCATGTTTGGGGAATTGGGAGCTATAATCACTACTTTTCTATTATTCTGCTGGGATTTTGGGAGAAGGATCGGTCCTACAGGGATAACAGGATCCTTTACATTGGTGGCAAGCAGCAGGATTTTCTCCCGAACGGATGTAACGAACCGAAACAAGTAGTGAATGGCGCATAGATACGAACATCTGAAATGAACAATGCTGAAAGAACTGCTGGAGGCTCAAGACATAGTGGCAAGAAATAAACTGAAAGCCACGCTAATAGCCGAACTACTGGAGTGCGAGCAAACCAGCGAACAACAAATGGCGAATGGAAACGGAGTTCCAAAGGGACGTGAGATGGAGACTGTGAAGAAACCCCCTGTTTCCTATGTTATTTACCCATTGCATTCCCTTTTTATCTCCATTTCTGCCTATTGCATTCGGTAGATGGAACTACTGAACAAAGATCACCCCTCGGGCTCATTAAACATTAAAGTTTGGGTAAAATTGCTACCTCTGTATGTGCGGCCAGCGTTCGTCAGTCGAACGCCACGTGGCAGATAAAACCGCGGCCATCTTTGTTCATGCGAACAAAGGCAGCGGGACCTGGTCGTCGAGTGCATGGAACTAAAAATGGACACTTGACTTCCCGAACACCGGTCCCAAACAGACAAACGCTGGAACCCCATTTACCGAATAGCCAGAAGAGCGCTATTCTGTACTTTGGTGTATTCGACAGAGGGGCACGAACGCTGCTAAGAGCAAGAGGGATCCATTCGGTATTTTATTTGTTTTTATGCTTTTATGAAAGTGACCGGCAAAACCCACCAAATTCATGGAACTGTTTTGGGCATACAGCCCAGGGTGAGCCGGTCACAAGAGACTTCCATAAATTTTGCGAACCCCTGAACCGATCTGGGTGAAATTCGGATATGTTGGTCACCCAGATCAGGGCTATCAGGGGAAATATAATTTATGGGGATACCCCCAGTATAAAGGGGTGTTCTAGATATTGGGGAAAAAGGTGATTTTTCAGGCCGGAGATAATTAAGTTACTATTTTATCAGACTGAATTATCTCCTGGGCTAGGGGAGGGAATTGTAGGTGTGTTAAAGTTTTATTGCCTGTGATTGGTTAATGTTTGTCCCTCCCTGAGGGCTGTCCCCTTGTGTAATGGCTACCCAGATGGTGAGGGGGTATCAGCCGTTGGAGACGTCCTTTCCCTGGCAAGATGCTGTATAATAATGGAGTTGTTCTTATTCCCATCCACGAGATCCAAGGGTAGAAGCAGGCATAGCTGGAAAATGGAGCAGAGTAATGGTGTAGTAAATCACCTTTCAAGAACAAGACGAGGCTACGTTTTGAAGGGTCAAGCAGAACTAATTTTTATTGACAGGGTATTCCTTTTATGCAATCCTGCCCTTGGGAGGGCGACACCTACATAATTAGTACAGTACCCAATCACAAACATGGTACAACCCCCACGTCTCCTCCCCTCAGATAAACATTTAACATAATTATTGTGCACACATTTTTACCCAAGTTTTGGATGTACCCTAAAAACAGGGGGTATCCCCAGATAGACCTCACTCAGGGGAACAACATACTGAAAAATCATCCCATTCGGCGAAAGCGTTCGGGAGTTATGGAGCTTTAAAGTTTTGACCGAAAATAATTCCATAAGTTTTGGCCTTGCGGTCTGTCCTCGTTAGTGCGCTGAAAAAGCACGAAAATCCTGCCATCCGCATATAACTTGGTGTTCGCTGGAATCCCCATACATAATATATCCTTTCCGACCGTTCGGTTGTTTCAGCATGAAATTACGTTGTTATGGAGGTCTCAGCGGTGTTCGCCTACTCGAGTGTCCGTTTTTAGTTCCAGACACTCAATGGCAAATCACCGCTGTTCAAGCGTAAGGTGGCCGCGAACACGTGCAAAGTCCCGAAATGGCGGCCACCTAGATTTTACACAAAGGATTCGTGCAGTTATCATGCGAACGGTATATGCCGGTCTGGGAGGTAAAATACCACTTAACTACACAGCAGGGTGGTCCGGTGTTCGGCAGTTTGCATTCGTTTTTACTGCTATAACAATCCACATACACAGGCAAGTATGTTCTTTTGTATTCCCAGGCTTATGTCTTGTTAAATATGTCCAGGCAGAGATTATAGTTCTGTTACACCTTGCATGGGGACTTGCATAAAAGCTGTGTGCACCCATTAAAGGCTAGTTCATTTTGTACCCTTCTTCTTGACTTCCGCTGATGTTTGGGGATTCGTGTGTTTCACTAAGGGAATTATCTTGTGAAGCTATTGGAATTGCTATAGGATTCGTCTACCCTATCTACCGAACGGAGGGCTATAATCACTAAGGCTCTGGTGGTTCGGGAGGAAACTACCAAATGAGGTTTAAATATACTTGGTTTCCTTACAGAGACTTAGCCTGGTAGGAACTAACCCTACACCGGAGATCGTGGTACAGATCTTGGCACAAGCCACGGAGGCACAGAATGCCTGAGAGACCAGAGACAGGTCACCTACTGTGGATATATTGTCGCTATCTGGATCTACAATGGAGCGTCCTCGCAAAATCACGTATGCAGACAGCTGGGGGCGAACACATACCCCTTCGACAAAAGCAGTCGCACACTGTGTACAGGAGGATTACAACCCCCCTGCCCAAGGGTTACCCAGTAACAACACTGAAAACTGGTCCATGTTACATGAAGTGAACCCCATACAAGATGATGGAGATAACCAGTCTCATTACCGCCAGTCCGTGAAATTAAATGGACAAGAAGCTAGGGGGCTGAGAGACAGCAGGGCCACTATTACTCTGGTACAACCTCACCGGGTCACACCTTCGCAGCACACAGGGCGCACCATTGCTGTAAGGGTAGCCGGAGGAGCAATACATAAACTGCTGACGGCTCGAGAGCACATTGATTGGGGTACTGGGGCCAAGTCCGTAGAAGTGGGCATCATGCCAGATTTACCCGCTGAAGTATTAATGGGAAATGATTTAGGGTGCTTGACGTCCCAATTTGTAGCACCCTACCCAGAAGGAGCGTTACTTGTCTCCACCCGGCAGCAGTCCAGAGCTATGGAGGCCTCCCCCTCATCCAACGACCAGGTAAGCAATAACCCCCTGACAGTTAACCCTGACCATTCCTACTGGGGTAACCCTCAAGACTTTGGGCAGGCCCAGCGGGAGGACCCCACACTAAGAGGGTATTGGATGGAGGCAGACCAACCCCAGGGAGATGTAGATCAGGCAAGGTTTACCTGGGAGAAGGGTTTACTATACCGGGTGACAGGGGGGACAGAGAAAGGAGTGGGCCAAGTAGCTAAGACACAATTAATAGTACCCCGTAAGTATCGGGCTGAATTATTGCGTGTCAGCCATGATATTCCCATAGCAGGCCATTTAGGGATAAAAAAGACTAGGGACAGGCTCACCCAGTTGTTCTTCTGGCCGGGAGTCACTAGGGACTTGCAGGATTACTGTCGGACCTGCGATGTATGCCAAAAAGTGGCAGAGAGGGGGGACCATCCCAGAGCAAAACTGCGCCCTCTACCCATAATCGATGAACCCTTTTTCTGGGTGGCCGTAGATTTAGTCGGGCCACTCAGCAAACCCAGTCCATCTGGTAAGAAATACATTATTACTGTGGTGGACTATGCCACTCGCTATCCAGAAGCAATAGTCCTGTCAAATATACATGCAGAGACAGTGGCGGAAGCACTGGTTCAGGTGTTCACTAGGGTTGGATTCCCTAGAGAGATAGTGTCTGATCAGGGAACCCAATTCACAGCAGGGATTACCCAACAGCTCTGGCAGAGCTGTGGGGTAAAGCCCATACTAAGTTCACCCTATCACCCCCAGATGAACGGCCTCTGTGAGCATTTTAATGGCACCCTTATACAAATGCTGATCACGTTCACAGAGACCTGTCGGAATTGGGAAAAGTTCCTCCCACACCTGCTCTTTGCGTACCGGGAAGTACCTCAGGAGTCCACCGGATTCTCTCCGTTTGAATTACTATAAGGGAGACGGGTCCGGGGACCCCTGGACCTGGTATGTGAACATTGGGAAGGTGATATGGGAGATGCAGGTACCCCTGTAGTACCATTTGTGCTGGAGTTGAGGGACCATCTACAGGCTGTGACCGAAATGGTTCTGGAGAACCTGCGGGCAGCGCAACAGCGACAAAAACACTGGTATGATAGGGGGGCTAGGGACCGTATACTGGAACTAGGACAAAAGGTCCTGGTGCTAAAGCCCACTAAGACAAAAGGTCCTGGTGCTTACGTTGCAAGCCTCCTGTCAGGGTCCCTACACTGTGATAGACAGGATCAGTGATACCACTTACATTGTGGCAGACTGTTCAGATGAAAGGATCCGACGATCCTTTCATGTGAATATGCTCAAGCCATATCTCGAGAGACCAGAGGAAGTCTCCGCCGGATGCGCTCCCGCTTATAAGGATAGTGAGGGTATTCCTTTACACGACTTACTTCCTCAGGAACCAAAGGGGTAGAACAAGTACAGTTAGGCCCCGAATTGAACCTAAACGAGCAAGCTCAGGCTTCCCAACTCTTAAAGGGATTTAGGGGCATGTTTTCAGCGGCCCCAGGCTATATGACCCTAGCAGTCCACAGAGTGGAGACCCCAGGCCAGTTACCCCTGTGGCAGCAGCCCTACCGGATTCCTGAAGCAGTGCGGGAAAGTATGTTAAAAGAAATCCAGGATATGCTAGAGTTGGGAGTAATAGAGCCTTCTCAAAGCCCGTGGGCTTCCGCAGTGGTCCTGGTTCCCAAAAAAGACAGTACCACGCGTTTCTGCATAGATTATCACAAATTAAACGATAGGACAGTCACAGACGCATACCCCATGCCCAGAGTAGACGAGTTACTTGACCGTAAGGCTGGGGGGAATTATCTGACCACTATTGATTTGTATAAAGGGTATTGTCAAACCCCCTTGGAGCCTGCAGCCATCCCAAAGTCGGCATTCGTCACCCCATTTGGCCTGTACCATTTTACGTTCATGTCATTTGGGATGAAAAATGCCCCGGCTACTTTCCAAAGGATGGCTGACCGGCTCCTAGAGGGATTTCAGGACTTCGCTTGTACCTATCTGGATCTTCAGTGGCACTTGGGAGGCCCATCTGGAACACATTTCAGTAGTGCTCAACCGGATTCAAACCGCAGGGCTCTCCTTGAAGCACGAAAAATGCCACGTAGGCATGGCCAAAGTCCAGTATTTAGGACACAGAGTAGGGTCAGGGAAACAAAGGACAGAACCCACAAAAATTGAGGCCATCACTCAGTGGCCCCAACCCCGGACTAAGACACAGGTTATGGCGTTCTTGGGCACCGCTGGTTATTATAGAAAATTTGTACCTGAAATACAGTGCCCTGGCCAAACCCCTGACTGACCTCACTAAAAAGTCCTTGCCCCGACAAGTAGTCGGGGCACTCCAATGAGTACGAGGAGGACTTCCAGAAACTCAAAGCTGCGTTAAGTGCATCTCCTGTGTTGACAGCACCTGATCATACTAAAAGATTTCTCGTTCACACAGATGCCGCAATGTTTGGACTGGGAGCCGTATTAAGCCAGGTTGGGGACGATGGCATGGACCACCCGGTGGCATATCTGAGCAGGAAACTATTACCATGCGAAGTCAGCTATGCCACCGTTGAAAGAGTGTCTGGCATTAGTTTGGGCCCTTAAGAAATTGCAACCTTACCTCTATGGACGTTCCTTCACAGTAATGACAGACCATAACCCTCTGATTTGGCTTAACAGACTGGCCGGAGATAACCCCAGACTACTCAGATGAAGCTTGGCACTACAACCCTATAATTTCACGATGCAGTATCGCCCCGGGAAGCAGAACGCCAACGCTGATGGCTTATACGGACAGAGAAATAACACTGCCATCCGGACATCCCCTAGCCGACCCGTTAGGATCTAAGCGGGTATGCCGTTCCATGGGACTAAGGGGGAGCTGTGTAACGAAACCGTTGTTTGGACAGGCTCAGGGAAACAGCATTTCGTATAATATTTGTATGTTTGGCTATTTCGTGTTGTTTGTAAAAGAGCCAAGCGAACTCCCGAACCACCCGACCCCCCACCAGGGTCGTGTGCAGCTCATTAACCACCCAGACCTTGCGGTTAATCGCAAGTAATTGATGAAAGGCTTTTCGTTTGCCGAACATGTGGTGGTGGCCATTTTAAAATCGTTGAACGCTCAGCAGTAGCTGGTCGTCGACGCCCTGGAACTGTTTTCGGACACTTATTTAGCCGCACACTGCTGAAGCGTACCAAGTTTCAGTCCATTTGTCTAATAACTCACGAACACTCTACTGTTCGGGACTTTCCTACCATATGAACTAGACCAACCCCAGGTAGCTGCAGTTATGGAATTCTTTTCGGATTCAATTGCACGAACAACCGGTGAACTAAAACTTTACTCGACGGTATTGAGAACTGTGTTCGTGGGATCTGAGCGCTATTCGTCTATATTGTGCGCTCCGATCCAAGCTATCTGGGGGTATGTGGAACAAGGAGACTAAGTTCGGCGAAATATAAGTTATAGATTTTAATACAGTTTTGTCAAAATGTAAAAAGGACATGTTTCACTCTACCTGGAGATAATTAGGTTCTCTCTAACCACTTAAGTTAATTATCTCCAGGATAGAGAGGAGGGGTTGCACTTTTACCGTGGGTGTGTTTAATAATTGTACTGTAAACTGATTGGTTCTGTATTTTGTGTCACAGTTTTCCACCAGGTCCCCTGTGGGAGTTTCCTTGCTGGGAGACCATCATAAAAGGCCGAGTGTGGCCAGCATTAAAGCAGATCGTTTTACCCCTTCATGAAGTCTCGACTCATGTTTGGGGAATTGGGAGCTATAATCACTAATTCGCTATTATTCTGCTGGGATTTCGGGAGAAGCTGCAAGGATTGGTCCTACAGGGATAACAGGATCCTTTACAATCTCATCGACTATTGCATTGTTATAGACAATCGTATTAGAGAGAGATGCTCTTAGCGACAGTCTTATAGCTGGATGCAGGCTCAAACCATGCCCACCTTGCCCTATGCTTCTCTACGTGCTTTGCCTCCCTGTGGGCCACCACCAGAACCTATGCACATAGGAACCACTAAGTTACCCGAAGAGGAGAAACAACGCAGAAAGAGAGAAGGCTCATGCCAAAAGGGGGCATGTAAGGACATGTCCTGACCTGCAGGGAAACGCCAGCAACTAAGACAAGAGATTGGGTTGGTCTTGGGTGTTATGGAGTTATCTCCTCACAACAAATATTCTAGACCGCTTCTAGTGGTTACCCTCACCTTTAACGGCGAGACCATGCATACCAAGGCCCTACCAGACTCAGGTGCAGCTGGCAACTTTATAGACCAGTCCTTTGTGGAGTACCACGTCATGACCTTGGTACGCTTTACAGTAGCCTTCCATGCTCGTTTTCCCTTGAAGTCTCTGACTTCCTGCTCTCCTGGTAGTCATCGGGGCGCGGGGGGGGGAGTTAAGTAAGGACCCCTGCCCCCTCAGCACAGCGAGCGGCGTCATCTGGTCCCTGTCTCCAGACTGGCAGTGTGTCTGACGCTGCACGCTCCAGAGCAGCTTCCTTATATGTGTGCTGCACATGTTGTGGTTAACACTAATTGGAGGTTAGCCAATCAGACACACCATGTGTGTGTATAAGCTAACCTCTCCCTTGCCTCAGTGCCCTATTGTGGTCTTTGGTTTACCATTGAGCATTGCACTTGTTATTTGGATTTCCAGGTTACTGATATATGGCTTTGTCTCTCATTATTCAGTCTCTCTGTTTCCCTTGACCTTGGCTCGTGTTTTCACTATCCCTTTTTGCATAACCCGACCATGCTAAGGATTGGTATTGCAATTCTCTCTACTCTGTCCTGTCTGCATGACAGGAACGTAGTGAAAGTTACACTGGCACAGGGTTAATAATATCAAGTGAAAACAAATGGGTTGCCACCTTTCTTGGGGGAAAAACATACCGGCCATATTAATTTGCATAATTAATTATGCATGCATGACATTACAAGATGTAAATCACAAGGTCTGACATAACAAAAATTTTTTTTTAAATCACCCAAAAACTACTTGCAGTTTGATTGATTGCTCCTACTGTCTCCCAGCGCGGTGTCTTCATGTCTCCCAGTGTCCTCTAGTGTCCCTATGTCTCCCAATGTCCGTGTCCCTATGTGTCAGTAGTGTCCCCATGTCTAACAGTGTCTGTGTCCCTAGTGTACCCATTTCTCACAGTGTCCCCAGATGTCTAAGTGTCCCCACGTTTCTGTGTCCACTAGTGTCTTTGTGATCCCATGTCTCCCTGTGTCCCCCTGTCTCCCAGTGTCCCCATGTCTGTGTGATTCAGTGACCCCTAGTGTCTGAGTCCCCAGTGTCTTTGTGCCTAGTGTCTGTGTCCCCTAGTCTCCCAATATCCCCCTGTCTTCTAGTGTCTGTGTCCCCATGTCTCTGTGTCTCACAGGATGCCCCAGTGTCCCTCCATGTCTCCCCTAGTGTCCCCATGTCTCCCATGGTGTCTGTGTCCCCATGTCTTCTAGTTCTCACTAGTGTCTGTGTCCCCATGTATCCCGGTGTCCCCATGTCTGTCCGCATGTCTCCCAAGACTCCCCTAGTGTCCCCATGTCTCCCAGATTCTCTTAGTGTCCCCATGTCTCCCAGTGTCCCCTGGTGTGTCTCATTGTCCTCATGTCTACTAGGAACCCCCAGTATCCCCATGTCTCTGTATGCCCCAGTGTCCCTGTGTCTCCCAGTGTCCCCATGTCTCTGTGTTCCCTGTGGGTCTGTGTCCCTCATTGTCCGCATGTCTGTGTCCCCATGTCTACTAGGATCGTCCAGTGTCCCCATGTCTCGTCTGTGTCGCCCCTGTGTCCCCATGTCACTGTCTCTCCCAGGAAACCCCTGTGTCCCTATGTCTTTGTGTGCCCAGTGTCTCCATGTCTATGTGTATCCCCTGTGTCACCATGTCTCTGTGTCTCCCATGATCCCCTTGTGTCCCTATGTCTGTGACACTCTGGGCTGCTCCCCCACTAATCAGTAAGTAAGGAGAGGCAGGGAGGGAGATGCTATAACTTCCTATCCCTGTCTCTCACCACAAACACAGTGCTGTTTATACTGAGGAAAATACCAGCATTTATATTGTCGATATTACTGTAATAGTGGAACCGGCCAGGCAGCCTTAAATACTGGCTGTGCTGGTAAAATACAGAGAAGGTGGCAGCCCTGTTGGGAGGTGGGGCACACAGAATGATTCCTTCTCGTATGCATGCGCATTTTGTGTAAAGATTAGAGCAGCCCGTCTGTGGCACCCCAGCCTTCGGTTACCCACTTGCCATCCTAGCCATGTGTTGCTGAACCTAAAAATCAAAATAAAACGATCCTAAATTTGGAAATATTTGATTGCTTAAATTATTCTCCATGTGTGGTTTGTTTTATAAGTTGTACATATAAGTGTGTTCCCCAGCACCTCCTGGCTATCATTACATTCTGTTGGGTAATTTAATGTTCTTTATGAATGGAATATAGATATACAGTGAGGTCAAACGTATTTGATCCCCCGCTGATTTTGAACGTTTGTCCACTGACAAATAAATGATCAGTCTATAATTTTAATGGTAGGTGTATTTTAACAGTGAGAGACAGAATAAGAAAAAAAAATAATAATCCAGAAAAACGCATGTCAAAAAAGTTATAAATTGATTTGCATGTCAATGAGTGAAATAAGTATTTGATCCCCTATCAATCAGCAAGATTTCTGGCTCCCAGGTGTCTTTTATACAGGTAACGATCTGAGATTAGGAGTGCTCCTAATCTCAGCTCGTTACCTGTATAAAAGACACCTATCCACAGAAGCAATCAATCAATCAGATTCCAAACTCTCCCCCATGGCCAAGACCAAAGAGCTGTCTAAGGATGTCAGGGACAAGATTGTAGGCCTACACAAGGCTGGAATGGGCTACAAGACCATCACTAAGCAGCTTGGTGAGAAGGTGACAACAGTTGGTGCGATTATTCGCAAATGGAAGAAACACAAAATAACGGTCAGTCTCCCTCGGTCTGGTGCTCTGTGCAAAATCTCCCCTCGTGGAGTTTCAATGGTCATTAGAACGGTGAGGAATCCGCCCAGAACTACACGGGAGGATATTGTTAATGTTAATGATCTTAAGGCAGCTGGGACCATAGTCACCAAGAAAACAAGTGGTAACACACTTCGTCGTGAAGGACTGAAGCGCCTGCAGCGCCCGCAAAGTCCCCCTGCTCAAGAAAGCACATGTACAGGCCTGTCTGAAGTTTGCCCATGAACATTTGAATGATTCAGAGGAGAACTGGGTGAAAGTGCTGTGGTCAGATGAGACCAAAATCAAGCTCTTTGGCCTTGGGGTCATAGGCAGCATTCTCCACACTTTCCGTGTGTGGAGAATGCTGCCTATGCCCCCAAGAACACAATCACCACCATCAAACATGGAGGTGAAAACATTATGCTTTGAGGGTGTTTTTCTGCTAAGGGGACAGGACAACTGCACCACATCAAAGGGACGATTATTCGGAAATGGAATAAACACAAATTAACGGTCAGTCTCCTCGGTCTGGTGCTCCGTGCAAAATCTCCCCTCGTGGAGTTTCAATGGTCATTAGAATGGTGAGGAATCCGCCCAGAACTACACGGGAGGATCTTGTTAATGTTAATGATCTTAAGGCAGCTGGGACCATAGTCACCAAGAAAACAAGTGGTAACACACTTCGTCGGGAGGATCTTGTTAATGTTAATGCTCCGTCAAATCTTGGGTGAGAACCTCGTTCGCTCAGCCAGGGCATTGAAAATGGGTCGTGGAACTCAAATGTGGGTAGCACATGCTGTAATACCTTTGTGTGAGGAGTATGCTTTGTCCTATTCATCTAGAGTTATAATTTTCTCTAATTCTTTGTGCCATGCTTGTATGTGTGTGTCTTTCCCCTGGTCTGCCTCTTGGAGAAGTGCTTTATAGCTTACGGAGATTAATTTTTTGGGGTGGTTTTCTATGGGCGCATATCAGTTCAAAATCGGACATACTGTTGCAAGAAAAAGCGATTTAAACCAGACATCCCAAGAATATTGCTGAACTGAAACAGTTCTGTAAAGAGGAATGGTCCAGAGTTATTCCTGACCGTTGTGCACGTCTGATCTGCAACTACAGGAAACATTTGGTTGAAGTTATTGCTGCCAAAGGAGGTTCAACCAGTTATTAAATCCAAGGGTTCACATACTTTTTCCACCTGCACTGTGAATGTTTACATGGTGTGTTCAATAAAAACATGGCAACATTTCATTCTTTGTGTGTTATTAATTTAAGCAGACTGTGATTGTCTATTGTTGTGACTTAGATGATGATCAGATCACATTTTATGACCAATTTGTGCAGAAATCCATATCATTCCAAAGGGTTCACATACTTTTTCTTGCAACTGTATGTGCATTTGGTGAGGTTGTTTTTAGCTTGTTGAGTTTCTTTTGGGTAAGGTATGATTTTATTTGCAGGTAGGTGAAAAGTAGTTTGTGCGGGAGGTTGAATTCTTGTTGTATGTCTGCAAAGGGTTTTATGCTCTTGTCTTTGAATAGCTTCCCTATCTCCTGGATGCCACCCTGTACCCATAGATGTGTGTTCAAAGTTGGTATTACGGGTTCTACGGCTGTCATTGGGGCTGCCATTGGCATTGGTAGAATATTTTCTACCAAAAGTTTGGATGTACCCCTACATTTAGGGTACCAACATATTTAAAAATCAGCTCAATCGGTTCAGCCGTTCGGGAGATATGGGACTTAGAAGTTTTGACCGACCGCACGGGCACAGTAGCCGAAAACAGTTCCATGAATGCTGGCCCTGCAGTCGGTCTAAGAACGTGGGTAAAAACTCCCGAACGGCCGGCCATCCGTATGCCATCCTGGGTTTGCTGAAATCCCCATCTGCTGCTGATTCTTTCTACCGAACGCCAGGTAGTTTTGGCGATGTTTTCCCGAAGGTATGGAGGACTCAGCGGTGTTCGCCTGTTTGAGTGTCCGATTTTAGTTCCAGACATTCAATGGCAAACACCGCTGTTCGGGAGTTAAAATGGCCGCGAACACGTGGAAGTCCCGAAATGGCGGCTGAGCTTACAGTTCCCATAGCGTTCGTGCGGTTGGTTTGAATAAAAGTGCCCATCAAGCAGGGAGGTAAATTGGACATAATTAACAGTCAGGGTGGCCTGTTAAAGGCAGGTAAGCATTCGCATGGAGAATGCTTACAAAATACCGAACGGCTTTATAATCCATAGGTCTTTTACAGTCAGACTGTGCTTCTTGTTACAGTCTCCGTAGTAGGTTTGTGGTTACTCTAGGTTTTTTGTTTTGTCATGTGAAGTTGATTAACATTTTTGTTCGGGTTTTGATGTAGGTTCCTGGTAATGGAATATGCAGTGTTCTGTATAAATATTGTAATTTCGTTAATAGGGACATTTTCACCACCTCTATGCGTCCAACACATGATACAAATTTCCCCTCCCTAGATTATAGTACTGTTTTAAAGATTGTAAGTAGGGGGTGGTAGTTAGTTTTGAATGGGGAGGTTGTGATTTTTTGTCATTTTTATTCCTAGGAACGTTAGTTTTGGGTAAATTGATGCTTAGGGCTTGTGTTTTGGTAACATTTAATTTGTAGTATGATATCTGCCCGTATGATGTGGTGTGGTGCATAAGATTTGGCAGGGAAATTTGTGGTTGGGTGAGGGTTAGAAATAAATACCAGTGGTATATCTAATAGTGACCATAAAGCTCAAAAACACCCGTGTGGTATCCCCTATACCAACACCAAAGATACATACAATACAAACACAATAGTTGGAGCAAATATTATACTTTCCTCTCTTCTCAATGATTTCAGCAATGCTGTGGAGACAGAGAGGTATACAAATAGTGCAGATAACTCTAAGTTACAATGTAAAAATAACATATGCAAGGAAACACTCACAAAATTAGAGCCAATATTAAACCTGGCTCTGGTATGGATGGCTTTAGGATATTTTAGGGGTGATCCAAATCAGTCTCTGGATGGTCTGGATATCCGGTCTTTACTGTGGAAAATTTCTCCCAATAATAAACTGCAGGGGATCCAGATAAGTATAAAGTAAAAAATATTTATTAGATACAGATAAAATAAAAAATGTAAATAAAATCTATGAGAGAAGTAAAATGCTGCCAAAACGCGTTTCGCCTAGCATGGCTTCCTCAGTTGGCTGAATTCTTGTTTGTAAGTCCATACAGGTCTTTAAATGCTATGTATAATCCAAATTTGCAGGGTTTTTTTCCCTGTGGAACGCAACTTGCATTCCATTCCTCCGTCTGCGTTTCACTTCCTGGTTCCAGTCACGTGGAGCCTCAGTATTACTGGAACGAATAACACTTCCTGGTTACGATTTCCGACATGAATGGAACGCATCGTGCGTTCCATTAGAGTGACGGCACACCTCCAATTTCCTCATTTGTGCAGTCTGTATGTGTGGAACGCACTCCGCGTTCCACCAAATTTAGAATCCTTTACCCTTTCTCGGTCTCTTAGTTTATATAATAAAAACAGTCTCTATACACACTGTATTCCTATAAATTGTCCAACAGAATAATACATCTTCTTGACATGAAGTATACATTGATATTAACTAATATAATTGGAGAGATAGATAAATAAAAATGAATTATATCAATAAAATCATCATTTTACATCTTAAAATAACATTATAGCTACATAATGTAATTCTTTATATATAATTGCGAGATCTTTGAGTGTCAATTTTTAAAGTGACAGTGCAAATTTCATTTAAATATTGCTAAATTGTATGTAATTTAGTAGTGAATCCATTTCTATAGTTTTATGTGGACTCTCGATATCATCCCACTTCACACAAAATTCTAAAAGTGAGACAATGAACCCAGACAGATATTAGTTAAAGTGACATGTTGCCTAATTCAGTATTCTTATTAAAGGAACACTATAGTCACCTAAATTACTTGGATAAATAAAGCAGTTTTAGTGTATAGATCATTCCCCTGCAATTTCACTGCTCAATTCACGGTCATTTAGGAGTTAAATCACTTTGTTTCTGTTTACGCAGCCCTAGCCACACCCCCCCGGCTATGATTGACAGAGCCTGCATAAAAAAACAAACTGGTTTCACTTTCAAACAGATGGAATTTACCTTAAATAATTGTATCTCAATCTCTAAATTGAACTTTAATCACATACAGGAGGCTCTTGCAGGGTCTAGCAAGCTATTAACATAGCAGGGGATAAGAAAATCTTAATTAAACAGAACTTGCAATAAAGAAAGCCTAAATAGGGCTCTCTTTACAGGAAGTGTTTATGGAAGGCTGTGCAAGTCACATGCAGGGAGGTGTGACTAGGGTTCATAAACAAAGGGATTTAACTCCTAAATGGCAGAGGATTGAGCAGTGAGGCTGCAGGGGCATGTTCTGTACACAAAAACTGTTTCATTAAGCTAAAGTTGTTCAGATGACTATAGTGTCCCTTTAAGGAATAACCCAATTATCTCCAGGCAGAAGACACACAGTTGCCCAAAAACTTGGAACACTCCTTTATACACAAGGTATCCCCACACGTCCCCTGATAGCCCCGATGTGGGAGACCAACATATTCAAATTTCACCCAAATCGGTTCAGGGGTACTCAAAAAGTATGGAAGTTTTAGTTCACCGACCGCACACGAGGCTCCTGCCCAAAACAGTTACACAAATTCAGTGTGTGCGGTCGGTCAATTCAGAGAATAGCATAAAAGCACGAATGGAGCCTCCTGGCTCATAGGAGCGATTGCTCCCCGTGTTCGTATGAACCAAGCTACCGGATGGTGCTCTCCTAGCTGTTCGGCAACAAAAGGAAGCAGGCGTTCATATGTTTCAGCGGTGGTTCGGGAAGTCGAGTATCCGATTTTTAGTTCCACACTTTCGACAACCAAGTCCCGCTGCCTCCTTTCATGCAAACAAGATGGCCGCCGTTTTCTGGCATTCGCATTTACGAATGGCGGCCGCCCAGAGAGCGCTTAATAGACGGTTCCCTTTGAAGGTAATGAGCCAGGAGGGTGGTCAGTTTTCGGTAGTTTAATCTACTGAACCAATAAATCCCAAATAAAAGAATACAGCGGACAGTCACGAGTAAAAGAAGAAAATGCTGAAAATAATTTGTGAATAAATTCCCCTTTAGTACACTATTTCTGCCCATTTGCATTTGGTAGATGTAACTACTGAACAAAGACCACCCCCCCTGGCTCGTTAAGCATCAAAGACTACTTCAATTGAGGCTTCTGTCTGTGCGGCCAGCGTTCGTACTGCCGAACACCACGTGGCAGAGAAAACCGCGGCCATCTTTGTTCATGCGAACAAAGGCAGCGGGACTTGGTCGTCGAGTGTATGGAACTGAAATCGGACACTCGACTTCCCAAACACCCGTCTCAAACAGACAAACGCTGGAACTCTACTTACCAAATAGCTAGAAGAGCGCCATTCGGTACTTTGGTGCATTCGACAGAGGGGAACGATCGCTGCTAAGAGCCAGGGGGTTTGTTCGGTTTTCTCCTATTTCTAAAGTGACCGGCAAAACCCACCAAATTCATGGAACTGTTTTGGGCATACAGCCCAGGATGAGCCGGTCCCAGAAGACCTCCATAGTTTTTGCGAACCCCTGAACCGATCTGGGTGAAATTCGGATATGTTGGTCACCCAGATCAAGGCTATCAGGGGACATGTTATTTGTGGGGATACCCCAAGTATAAAGGGGTGTACCAGTTATTGGGGAAAAAGGTGATTTTTCAACCTGGAGATAATTAAGTTATTCTTTTATCAGAATTAATTATCTCCAGAGCTAGGGGAGGGAACTGTGGGTGTGTGTTATGTTTTTACAGTACGTGATTGTTGAATGTTTGTCCCTCCCTGAGGGCTGTCCTCTTGCATGGGGACTTGCATAAAAGCCTGTGTGCACCCATTAAAAGGCAGTTAATTTTGTACCCTTCTTCTTGACTTCGGCTGATGTTTGGGGATTCGTGTGTTTCACTAAGGGAATCCTCTTGTGAAGCTATTGGAATTACTATAGGGTTTGTCTACTCTGTCTACCGAACGGAGGGCTATAATCATTAAGGGTCTGGCGGTTCGGGAGGAAACTACCGAATGAGGTTTAAATATACTTGGTTTCCTTACAACTGGTGGCAAGCGGAGGGATTCGAATCCCGAATAGACGTTCTGAACCAAGCAAGGGCTCTACCTGACTCCCGCCTTGGATCCAGCGGATGGGAATAAGCAACTCCCTTACTTTACAGCAACTTGCCGGGAAGAAAAGGACGTCTCCAACGGCTGATACCCTCTTACTATCTGGGTAGCTGTTACAGGACCTTCCCGGTATTATCTGCTCCCTGTCTCCCTGCCACTAATTCATCATGAATTAGGGTTGGTAGTATTGACCCCAGTCGGCGGGCGTAGATTTTAGCGAATAATTTAGCGTCTGTGTTGAGGGAAATTGGTCTGAAGTTTGGGTCGGAGGTTTGCCAGGTTTTGGGAGTGTTATGTGTGCCAGCTGGTATTCCGCTGGCAGCGATTTTTCTTGTGTGGCAGAGTTGAATAAGGATGTTCAAGGGTGGAGCTAATTTTGTTGCGAATTTTTTATAGTATACGTTTGTAAAGCCGTCTGGGTCTGGTGCTTTATTCTTTGGTAGGGTGCGTATGGCATCTTCTACTTCTCTTATGGAGACTAGGCTTTATAGTGAGGTAATTTGGTCTTGGGTGAGTGTAGGTAGTGGTGTGTCGTGTAGGTAGGACATTGTATCGTGGTCGGTCGGGTTGGTTAATTGATCAGATTGTGCTAGGTTTTAAAGCTTGTCATAGCACACTGCAAATGTATTGCTGATGTCTATGGGGGAAAGGACCTTCTTGTTGTCGTGTGTAAATATATGTGGGATTTTGGCATTCGCTACTACTCGTTTCAGTCTAGCCGCTAATGTTTTGCTGGCTTTGTTCCCTTGTGCGTAGTGTGTAGCTTTGAGCTTGTGTAAAATAAATCCCACTTGCTGCAGTGTATGCGATTTAATCTTGTCTGTAATATCACTAATTGCCTTTGTTGCTATTGTTGGGTTTGTTTTGTTCTCGTTTGTGAGGTCTGTGAGTTGCTTGTGCCAGGCCACCCATTGTGCTCTGTTAGTGTGTTCAAGATGTGACGCTCTCTTAATCAGAAGCCCCCTGATCACTGCTTTGTGTGCTTGCCATATGGTACTTGCTGATGTCTCCTGTGTCGTTTAATTCGAAGTATTCCGTAATGGCTTCTTCGATTTGTTTTAAGAAAGGAAGGTCTGTCAACAGTGACTCGTTGAGTCTCCACGGGCTTTGAGTCATAGTTGTCTTTTAGGGTTAGTGTTATCGGGACTTGGTCTAGATGTTGGCTCTCTGTGGAATCTATCAATTCTGGTGTATGTGGGGGAATAGTAAGTATAGTTCCTGTCTTGTGGATGTAGGACTTTCCATATATCATACAGTTTGTAGCTGTCTAATCGTTTAACCCCTTAAGGACCAAACTTCTGGAATAAAAGGGAATCATGACATGTCACACATGTCATGTGTCCTTAAGGGGTTAAGATAAGTTGTGCATGCTTTTTGTTGCTTGGTCTGTATGACTTTGGTTGCTCAGGAGGTGGTGTCGTTTTTAGGGTCTAGGATTTGGTTGAAGTCCCCACATAGGACTAGTATTCCATCTTGAGTCTGTTGTAATAGGGTTTGGTCCTTAAGGGGTTAAACTATTAGGACTTTATGTAGGAAGTTTCTTTGATTTGTGTTTGGATCATATACGTAGGCTAAAGTGTATTTGGTGTTATTGATCGTGCATAGACCTTTAAGGTATCTGCCCTCCTGGTCTATCTGTGAGGAGTGGTGTTGGAAGGAGACTGCGTTGCTAATCATTATTGACGCTCCTCTTGTTTTTTTTTTTTTTTTTCCGAAGTGGCATGGAACTGGTGCGGGTAGATGGATGGTTTTATAGTTGGTGGTGTTTTGAAGTGTGTTTCTTGGAGACAAATCACATCGGGCTGGTCCCTTTTGAGATCTCTAAAGAGGCAGTGCCTCTTATATGGGGTGTTTAACCCTCTAGCATTGTAGCTCTGTATTTTCATACTTTAGTGTGGTGTCTTGGGGTGCTGTGGTGAAGTCCATCTTAGTAATTCCATATTGTTCCTTCCCTTTTGAAGTTATGCGAGTTTGATGATCTTAGATTGTAAAGTCCAGCTGGAGATTTATTTAATCTCCGGAATGAAACTGGAGGTGGGGATTTCTCCTGTTTATTCCTCAGGGATTGAGTTAAAGCAGTGTTATGTTATGTCCAGACAGGTGTACCAGCATCTTTTATTTTGAATATTAAAATTCATACAGTGCCAAATAGGACAACAGTTTTCTATTGATATGACCATACTATGGATACTATAGGCAGTTTGGCTGAAACTGGCCAAAAGCATGTTTCGAAGATGACAAAAACATGAGGATTTATAAACACACACTGTATTTCAGTTAAATGCATGGGCTTTGGTCACATGAGAATAGCCTCCTCCACGGAACAAGGGGCACCAATGTCTATATATTATAAAAATTATATACAGATAAATTATATTGCATGGCCTCTTAATTAATAAAAAAAGACACTTTTCCTTTAACCTTAATAATTAACACATAAAAACCTGTAGATGCATGTTTTTGTCCTGTGGATTGTAGTATTTATATTTGGTGTTTTTCTTCAATAGGTAAATTTCCCAATATTCAAATCAAGCAAGAAGTTTTCCCTGTTGATATCCAGCCCCAAAACTACACCACAGGAGCCAAGGAAACTGCTACAACTGTCCCAGTGGAGGTAACTATACAGAACCTGGGGAAAAAAAATGGAAAGTCTCTAAAAAAGTTCAACCCCTGCAGAAGTATTTCACATATCAAAGATAAAGTTAAAGATGGCTCTGGAACCCATTCTGTGAGTGAAGGAAGCATCAAAACAGAGCAGCGAGTTAAAATGAATTCTGCAGAGCCAAGCAAAGCAAATTCACTCAAGTTTGAGAATCGACCTCCGCACAGGAAGCACCCAATGAAGAAACCCTTTGAGTGTTTGAGATGCGAGAAGAGCTTTAACTGCAGATCTCATCTTGTTATGCATCAGAGAGTTCACACCAGAGAGAGGCCATATATTTGTGCAGAGTGTGGGAAGACATTCACTCAGAGTTCTAATCTCTTTAGACATCAAAGGGGTCACCGAGGCGAAAGACCATATGTGTGTACAGAATGTGGTAAAACATTTACCCAGAGCTCATACCTCCTTATCCATCAGAGGACTCATACTGGGGAGAGACCCTATGCCTGCAGTGATTGTGGAAAAAGTTTTCGGGTAAATTCGACTCTTGTGAGACATCAAAGAGTCCACATGGGTGAAAAACCATACACTTGTGCAAAATGTGGGAAGTGTTTCACCCAGAGCTCCTATCTCCTCATCCACCAGAGAACCCACACAGAAGAAAGACCCTTTACTTGCTCTCAATGTGGAAAAGGATTCAAAGTCAACTCCTCACTTCTTAGACATCAAAGGCTTCACCTAGGAGATAAGACCTACACATGCACTCAATGTGGCAAAGAGTTCACAGAGCTAATCAGACTGGTCGCACATCAAAAAACTCACAGCTCGTCCAAAGAGGTGGCAGGAGGACTTGATGAACTGAATACTGAAGTGGGAATAATATTGGGTTGGGATCAGTGAGTTGGTGTGGTAGCTTTTCTTCACAAAGAAGATATGTAGGTGCTTACTGTTAGATGCTAAATCCCAGGCCTTTACTAGAAACATACTAAATGCAGCAATCTGTGGAACTTTAACGCCTATGGGAGAAAATACATTTTTGTTTGTGTGTCTTGTTTGAACTTACGGCTCGTTCAGAAACAACTGATAAAATTCCAAAAATGCAAGACTTTTTCTATGTACACAATAGGCCTATTTCTCTCAAATATTGTTCACAAATCTGTCTAAATCTGTGTTAGTGAGCGCTTCTTCTTTGCTGAGATAATCCTTCCACCTCACAGGTGTGGCATATCAAGATGCTGATTAGACAGTATTATTATTGCACAGGTGTGCCTTAGGCTGGCCACAATAAGTCCTCTCTAAAATGTGCAGTTTTACTGTATTGGAGGAGTCTGGAATGTTTTTAGCTTCCAGGAATTGGGTACAGATAATTGCAACATGGGGCCCTGCATTATCATACTGCAACATGAGGTGATGGTCGTGGATGAATGGCACAACCATGGGCCTCAGGATCTCGTCACGGTATCTCTGTGTATTCAAAATGCCATCAATAAAATGCTTGCCCATACCATAACCCCACCCCCACCATGGGCCACTCTATCCACAACGTTGGCATCAGCAAACTGCTTACCCCCACGATACCGTACACGCTGTCGGCCATCCGCCCTGTACAGTGAAAACCGGGATTCATCCGTGAAGAGAACACCTCTCCAAAGTGCCAGACACCATCGAATATGAGCATTTGCCCACTCAAGTCGGTTACGACGACGAACTGCAGTCAGGTCGAGGCTCCGATGAGGATGACGAGCATGCAGATGAGCTTCCCTGAGACCGTTTCTGACAGTTTGTGCAGGAATTCTTTGGTTCTGCAAGCCGATTGTTTCAGCAGCTGTGCGGTTGGCTGGTCTCAGACGATCTTTGCGGTGAAGATGCTGGATGTGGAGGTCCTGGGCTGGTGTGGTTACACGTGGTCTGCGGTTGTGAAGCCGGTTGGATGTACTGACTAATTCTCTGAAATGCTTTTGGAGACGCCTAATGGTAGAGAAATTAACATTTCATTCACGGGCAACAGCTCTGGTGGACATTCCTGCAGTCAGCATGCCAATTGCATGCTCCCTGAAAACTTGCCACATCTGTGGCATTGTGCTGTGTGATAAAACTGCACATTTTAGAGTGGACTTTTATTGTGGGCAGCCTAATATACACCTGTGCAATAATCATGCTGTCCAATCAGCATCTTGATACGCCACACCTGTGAGGTAGATGGATTATCTTGGCAAAGGAGGTGCTCACTAACACAGATTTAGACAGATTTGTGAACAATATTTGAGAGAGAGAGAATTGTGTACATAGAAAAAGTCTTAGATGTTTGAATTCAGCTCGTGAAAAATGGGGCAAAAACAAAAGTGTTGCGTTTATAATTTTGTTCAGTGTATTTTAAAGTGCAAATATATTCTGCAGTGCTGTACAACTGGAGGGAGCAGGCATAAAAATGTAGACTTCGAAAAAAACAGAAGCCTAGTCTGTGCGCTTAAAAGAGAACATTAACCTCAAAAGTATTTTTTAAAATAATCATTTCACAAAGTATTGAAATAAAAAGAACCTCACCCCTATGTTTATTATATGACAGGATCCTTCAACCTTATACATTCATCAGATTTTTTTCTTCACTGCTTCACTCTCCACAGAATTAACATTCTGTTATCAAACAATGTCCGACTAAAGGTGATTGTATAAGGATCCGGTAAAATACTAAAGACATGCATGAGGTATTTATTTATATATAATTCATTTTAAAAATCCTCCATACTTGAGGATATTATAATACTAAATTTTTTGCAATTACATCTCTTCCATGTAAAGCACTTTGTAAGATGGCTTGTGACGTCCATGGTTATAAAGAAGAGACCTCTGGGAATTTGAAAATATAGGTGGCATTTGAAAAGCAACTAGATTGTAAATGTAAACCATAATTAGGAGAGATTTTATGTATCTGGACAGTAAGCTTATAAAAGGTTTTAAACAAAGGACAAGTTAGGTGGATTTGCTGATTGGTTGCAGTTGAAAGTTACGAATGAAAAGAGAAGGTTAGGGCTATGCAGATTGTGTGAGGAGCAAAATATAACATGTTATGTACAAAGAGCATGTTTATATTACAATACTAACATCTCCATGTTGTGTAAGATAGCTGCACAAACATTTACTAAGGGCTACTACCTATGTTATTGTATACGCAGCCACAAACTATTGGTACCTGGTTGTATTATGTTGAGCTATTCAACCAAAATGAAAATATTGTTAGCTGGCAAGCTGCTGCCTATCCGCCTGTGTTTCTCAGTTGCCCAGGCTTCTCCTGCCACCCGCAAGACACATCCCCAAAAGGAGCCACAAGCGATTTGCATTGCTGGAATGATTACATTTGCATCTACACCAGGGATCACCGACGCCAAGTCACTGACCATTGTGGGAGGTCTGCTCACGGTCAGCCTTGGGGAAGCATTTTGGCCTGCAGCTTGTGATGGGGGATTTAAAAAAAAAAAAAGAGCTACGTCCCTAAAGGAACCCTAATGTGTCCATAGGAAGTTGGCAAAAAAAAAAAAAAAAGACAGTCAGCCGTTCTAGTTTAAAGGGTAATTCCTGTCTAATAGGAGTATTGGGAGAAGCTAGTCAGTTGTAGAGTAATATTCAGTAATAAACTAGTAGGAGAACAGAAAACAAATGTGAAAACTAGTGTGATTTATTGAAATTAATACAATTGTGTGTCACACACTTAATAAAACTTGCAGGATACATTTTTTAACTATCTTTGTTTTAATTTTTTTTAAATTAAAATAGAGATATACAAAAAGTAGCAGGAATCCCATAGCAAACCATATGTGTTTTGTATACATACATACTAATTTCAACCAGGTAAATGTTTTAGGTGTGTGTAAACCCAACATATTCCAACAAATGTAAGATTGGGCAAACTGCTGTTAACTCCCTCGATTTGAAAGTACAAGATGTTTTATGATGATGTGTTGTATTATTTGTACAGTATGCCATGATACGTTAATTTGTCAGGTTTTAAAAGTCCATTAAGCAGCATCAATAATGGATATGAGAAACTATAAGATAATCATAATCGAGCTAGATAAAAGAAAGGGGACATGACCTTTCAGCTGTGGTAGGTAGAAATATCATTTGGAGCAAAACAAAGGAATATTTAGCACTTGTTATACGGGTGATGGAAGGCAGCTGGAATAACCCAAACCAGAGTCTCTCTTGCTCTGGGGAAAAAAAAAGATGTATACAGATGGAGAGAGCAGCGTGTAGGACGGTCCTCAAAGTTATATAACTATAGAACAAAACAAACACACAAAAGGAAAATATGTTTTGTTGTTGATCGGTTGTATATCTGAAGAACAAAGATAAAATACACCTACAATATGTAGAGGTTTCAGTAAACTCTATTTAAAAGCCCCAGATTAATATGATCCGCGTCTGGGGATATGGTGTAGGTCTCTTGGTCTGACATAGGTATAGTGGTAGTATAACTTTAAGGCATGCCCGAGAGAATAGGCAAACAAATGGACAAGTAACAACTTAAAAATATTAAATTGATTATATGGCAGCATGAGTCTAGGGTAGTAACTGCTAGTAACACATGTCATAAAGCATCCTAGAGCAAGTACATGACTAGAAACACTCTATATAACTAACAGAGTTTCTGCTTACAGAGCCAAGCCAAATGAAAAACAAAACAAGACTTTATGCAGAACATTGCAGAAAATAAATATCCCTGTAAGATCAAGGATCTCAATGGATGTAGAATGAAACATGTACAGTGAGGGGAAAAAGTATTTGATACCCTGTTGAGTTTGAACATTTGTCCACTGACAAAGAAATGATCAGTCTATAATCTTAACCCCTTAAGGACCGAGGACGGTTCAGGACCGTCATCGGCATTTTTGCCTTGCCGACCGATGATGGTCCTGAACCGTCCTAACGGTCTGGGGGTACTTACCTGATCGCCGTCGTTCCCCCGGCGGCGATCAGTGTTCCTCCGGTTGTGGGGAGACTGCCTGCAGCCCAGACAGTCTCCCCACGGCAGATTTGGACCCCTGTGGCCATGTGATCGCTTAACACAGCGATCACATGGTCACAATAGGTGTCCATTTGTCTGCCTGCAGGGGGACTGTCTGTGCTGACAGGCAGTCTCCCTGCTAGTGTAAAATCAGAAAAAAAAAATAAAGTTAGTGTTAATTAAAAAAAATAAAATAATTATATATGTGTATATATGATATATAGACATATATTATATCTATATAATATATGTCTATATATCATATATATATAATGTCATACTAAGTGTATTTTTATATTAATATGTACTTATATTAATATAAAAATACACTTATAATTAAATTACACACGTATATATATAATATATATAATAACTATATATATTGTATATATATATTATTATAAAATATAATAATAATTTAAATTAAATAAAAAATTTTTCAAAATAATAATAAAAAATTTAAAAAAAATTATATAGCTATATGAAATTTTATTCTAACTGTATTTTAAAATTAATATATATATATTTATATCAAAATACACTTAGAATGAATTTGTATATATATCTATGTATATAAAAATAAATAAAAATAATAAGAAATATACATACGTCCATATACAAAATTACATAAATAATTATATAAATATACACGTAGACTTCAAATATATAAATATGCATATATATTTAAATTCTACGTGCGTATTTATGTAATATTTTTACATAATTCAGTAATTTTATTGATTGCAATTTGAGGGACCTGCCTGCCAACCCAGGCCGAAATTCCAGAGAATTTAATTTGCTAGCACTGTATTTTACCCTGTAACGTTCTACGACACCCTAAAACCTGTACATGGGGGGTACTGTTTTACTCGGGAGACTTCGCTGAACACAAATATTAGTGATTCACAACAGTAAAACATATCACAGCGATGATATTGTCAGTGAAAGTTACTTTTTTTGCATTTTTCACACACAAACAGCACTTTTACTGATGATATAATTGTTGTGATACGTTTTCCAGTTTTTAAACACTAATATTTGTGTTCAGCGATGTCTCCTGAGTAAAACAGTACCCCCCATGTACAGGTTTTATAGCATTTTTGAAAGTTACAAGGTCAAATATATGGGTCAAATATTTTTACATTGAAAATGGCCAGGTTGGTTACGTTGCCTTTGAGAGCGTATGGTAGCCCAGGAATGAGAATTACCCCCATGATGGCATACCATTTGCAAAAGAAGACAACCCAAGGTATTGCAAATGGGGTATGTCCAGTCTTTTTTAGTAACCACTTGGTCACAAACACTGGCCAAAATTAGCGTTCAATTTAGTTTTTTTACTTTTTTCACACACAAACAAATATGAATGCTTACTTTGGCCAGTGTTTTCGACTAAGTGGCTACTAAAAAAGACTGGACATACCCCATATTGAATACCCTGGGTTGTCTACTTTAAAAAAAATATGTACATGTGGGGTGTTATTCAGAGATTTATGACAGATAATAGTGTTACAATGTCACTATTGATAAATTTTAAAAATGTTTTGAAACCGCAATATCCTACTTGTACCTATAGCCCTATAACATGCAAAAAAAAGCAAAAAAGCACGTAAACATTAGGTATTTTTAAACTCAGGACAAAATTTTGAATCTATTTAGCAGTTTTTTTCATTCGCTTTTGTAGATGAGTAAAAGATTTTTCAAGTAAAAGTCAAAAAACATGTATTTTTTTCAATTTTTCATCAGATTTTTTTATTTTTTTTAAATTAAAATACATGAGATTATATAAATAATGGTATGTAAAGAAAGCCCATTTTGTCCTGAAAAAACAATATATAATTTGTATGGGAACAGTAAATGAGAAAGCGGAAAATTACAGCCAAACACAAACACCACAAAAGTGTAAAAATATTCCTGGTCGCAAATGTACAACATCGCAAAAACAGTCCAGTCCTTAAGGGGTTAATGGTAGGTGTATTTTAACAGTGAGACACAGAATAACAAAATATATATATTGTTGCAATTGCCTCCGGTCTAGCAGGAGGTTGGATCGCTTGGATGTCCTGGTTCCCGAAGTCAGAGAGTCGAACAAGATTCCATTCAGTAGAAACCTGTAAGTGTTGAATATCCCACTAGCTGTAGTAGCGCTAGTATTCCCGGATACCTACAACACGAGTCAAGGCTACGAGTTGAGGGTAAAACGAACTGGCTTTAATGGCACACAAGCATGGCAATTTATGCAAGTCCCCAGGTCCAGGGACAGCCCCCCATGGACCTGATGGGATACAGGTACAGTACAAGTATTTGACCAATCACAGTACAATGTATTATTCAAACTAGTACCCACCCAGCTTGGAGATAATGAGGCTAACGGTTATACAATCTAATTATCTCCAAGCGCTCAAAACGACCATGCTTTATTACGTTCCAGAAAACCGTATAAAAATATATAACTTAGTCATTATAGAGTGAATATAGTCCTTTCCACGTGTCATTCGGTAGCTCAGCTCTGGATGCATTAAGTGTGCGAATTGCGCCCAGATCCCGCGAACCGAGCAGGAGGTTTCTGCTATATAAAGTCCTGTTCGGCAGCTGGATTCTAAGCCCTCAATGGCGGCCATGTTTTTGGGTCTGTCAATGGCCAGCGGGACCTCGATGCAGGTAAAATAGGGTTTCAATAAGCAGAAGTAGAGAATAACAATGTAACGGGTCTTTGTAACAATGCTCCCTCTTTGTGGAACACTCTGGCAGACACTGTCTGACCCCTTTTCGGGGTAGACTAAGGCTGTCCAGACTGGAGAGTTATGCTGGACTGAGGTCAGTTTGCCGTGATAACCCGTCGGCATTGCCATTCTGTTTCCCGGGTCGGTAGGTGATGATAAAATTAAACGGTTGTAGTGATAAGCTCCAGTGTAATAGTCGGCCATTATTCCCAGCGACCCGGTTGAGCCATACCAACGGGTTATGGTCTGTAACCAGAGTAAACTCTTGTCCATACAAGTAGGGAGTTAACTTCTTTAGTGCCCCCACCAACGCCAAACACTCCTTTTCCACCGCGGCATAGCGGACTTCTCGTGGCAGGAGCTTTCGGCTGATGTAGACAATCGGGTGTTCTTTCCCATCGTCTCCTACTTGGCTGAGGACAGCTCCCAACCCGAACATGGAAGCGTCTGTATGAACAATAAAACGTTGATTAGGGGCTGGGGCAGCCAAGACAGGAGCATTACTTAAAGCAGTATTTAGTGTTTGAAACGCGGTTTCACAGTGGGGAGACCACAGGACCTGTCGATGAAGATTTTTCTTCGTTAAGTCAGTCAGGGGTTTGGCGATAGCGCTATAGTCTGGCACGAGCTTTCTGTAGTACCCAGCCATGCCCAGAAAGGGGTCTTAGTGGTGGGGGTGGGCCAATGTGTGATCGCCTCTAACTTATCTGGCTCTGGTCGCTGTTTCCCACATCCCACTCGGTGACCCAAGTACTGTACCTCACCCATCCCAAAATGGCATTTCTCTGGCTTCAGAATCAGGCCCGCAGCCCGAATCTGATCCAGGACCATTCCCACTTGGGCTAAGTGCTCCTCCCTGGACTCACTATGGATCGCTATGTCATCCAGGTATGCACAAGCAAAATCCTGGAAGCCATCAAGGAGTCTATCCACCAAGCGCTGGAATGTGGCGGGGGCATTCTTCATCCCGAATAGCATAACCTTAAAGTGGTATAAGCCAAACGGGGTGACGAATGCCGACTTGGGGATAGCTTCCCTGGCCAGGGGAATTTGCCAATAACCTTTACAGAGGTCAATGGTAGTTAGTTTCCCCTGGCTATGCGATCCAGCAGCTCATCTACCCTGGGCATGGGGTATGCATCGGTCATGGTTTTATCATTGAGCTTCCGATAGTCCACACAGAACCTGGTAGTACCATCCTTCTTGGGTACCAGCACTACCGGGGACGCACAGGGACTATCGGAGAACTCAATGACCCCTAGCTGGAGCATCTCCGTTATTTCCATTTTCATCCCTGGCCGGGTCGCCTCGTGGATCCGGTAAGGGGCCTGTTGCAAAGGTTGCTGCCCTGGGGTGTCTACTTGGTGAGTGGCTAAGTCGGTGTACCCTGGTTTCTGTGAGAATATTGCCTGTTTCTCTTGGAGCAGTTTGTGTAACTGCTCCCTCTCCACTGGGTTAAGTCGGTCCCCTATCTGCACTTGGCTCACTATATCTGACGGGTCATTCCGGGTCAACAAGTCGGGTATGGGAAGACTATCAGGGTCTTCGGTTGCGGGGCTACATATGGCCGATACATCTTCGGGTCATTGAAGATATTCCTTTAACATATTCACGTGGAATATCTTCCTTAAGTTTTCATCGTGACAGCTGGCAATCACAAAGGTAGTGTCCCCTCTTTTCTCCACTACCTGGTAAGATACCTGCCAGGCTGCTTGCAACTTGTCTGCTTTGATGGGTTTAAGCAACATCACTTTTTGTCCAATATAAAAACTCCTTTGTCCCGCCCCCTTGTCATACCAGACCTTCTGTCGCTTCTGGGCTGCCTGGACCGACCGGGCTAGTTGCTCCATGCGGTCCCTAAGCTCCAGTACATAGGGCACGATGGGGACTCCAGCATTCTCCGTCTCACCCTCCCAGGGCTCACGGATCAGGTTTAGGGGGCCCCGCACCTTACGCCCGAAGAGCAGTTCGAACAGAGAGAATCCGGTTGTTTCCTGGGGCACCTCACGGTATGCGAACAGGAGATGCGGTAGGAAACGTTCCCAGTCTCTATATTCCTGGGTGAAGGTTTTTAACATTTGTTTGAGGGTCCCATTGAACCTCTCACATAGCCCATTAGTCTGAAGATGATACGGAGAGCTGAGTAGGGATTTTATTTTGCAGACATGCCATAGTTGTTGCGTTAGTTCAGCAGTGAACGGAGTACCTCTGTCAGATAGAATTTCCCTAGGGAATCCTACCCGAAAGAAGACTTGTACTAAGGCATTAGCTACGGTGTCCGCCTGAATATTGGATAGAGCCACTGCCTCGGGATAGCAGGTAGCGTAGTCCACCACGGTAAGAATATATCTCTTTCCGGATGGACTAGGGGTGGCGAGGGGCCCTACTAGGTCGATAGCTACCCGGCTAAACGGTTCCTCTATAATGGGCATGTTCATGAGGTGCACCTTCGGGTGGTCTCCTCTCTTGCCTACCCTTTGGCAGACCTCACATGTGTTGCAGTATGAGCGCACATCTGCATGTACTCCGCCAAAAGAGGGTATGGGTGATCCGTTTGAGAGTACGGGTCACAGCTAAATGTCCAGCTAACGGAATGACATGACCGACTGAGTATATCTCGTCTATACTTGTGGGGAATGACTAGCTGCCGCCTATGGTTCCCTTTCTTTTCGGTGTGTCTGTATAGTCTGCCCTGTTCCCATGCGAACGTCTCTTGATCTGATCCCCCAGTCCCTGTATCAGCTCTGTATATAGCTCCCTATAATTCTGAAGTGTCGGGTCGGTTTTAGTTTCAGCCTCAAAGACTGCAGGGGTATCCCAGAGTAACGGGGACAGATCGTTAGTCACAGTCGGGGGTAGTCTTACCTGAGTCTCCCGCACTGGTGAAGGGTCTCGAGTCCTTCCTGCTTGTGACCGGGTAGTGACAGGACACGCCTCCGAGTTGTAGGAAGGAGCATAGGCAGAAGTCATGGGTCCCAGGTCGTTGCCCAGTAAAACCTCTGCTGGCAAATTATCCATGATCCCCACCTTCACAAGACCTTTCCACGCACCCCAATCCAAATGTACTCGAGCCGTGGGTAGTTTGTAAATGTCCCCTCCAGCCACCCTGACAGCAACGGTGTCCGTGGAGCGCTTGTGTGCTGGGACCAGTTGGCCTTGTACCAGGGTGATAGTGGCCCCCGTGTCTCTCAACCCACTGTGTGGGGCGGCCCTCCAGCAATACCTCCTGTCGGTTGTCATTTGCGGCATATATGGGGTTGGCTTCGTGCAAGGGTCCCAAATATTCCTCTAGGGGGCTTTCCTGTTCGACACAGAAAGCGCATGCTGGGCGGTTATTTACCGAGGGAGCTGCATTGTAACTCCTCGATGAGTAATTGTTGTTGAGGGGGCAGTTAGCAATGAGATGCCCTGGCTGCTTGCATTTGTAGCAGGTGGGGCAGGAGCGTTCCTGTGTGTAATGGCTGGGTGGTCCAGCGTATCGGGTAGGTCCCGCCGGCACAGGCGTACGAAACTCAGTTTGTGGGTTTGGTCGGTGCGAGTGGCTGTTCGGGAGCTGTTAAATTCCTGGACCCGAGCGTCTCGGTGTTCAGCCAGTCTCGCTGCCTCGTTGAGATCGCTTGGTCGGCGATCCTTTAACCACTCTCGGTCTTTTTGCTCAAGTCCCTCATAAAAATGTTCCAATAAAAATAATTCTAACACTTCACTGCCGTGACTGCTCGACACACGTTCATCCGATGAGTAGCCGCTGTATACGGTGTGTCCATTCGGCATGAGTATCAGTCGCTTTCTTTTTGGTTTCGCTGAATTGCCTGCGGTAAGTGTCGGGGGTTACCGCGTACCGTTTCAATAGGGTGTCTTTGACAAGCGGGTATTGCGCCACCTCCTCGGTGCTAAGTGCGTTGCTCGTCCGGCTAATTTCCCTGCCAGGATACGCGGCCAAGCTGTTGTGGGGATTTGATGCAGGGCACATTGCCGCTCAAAATCGGTAAAAAATTTGTCAATCCCCATCTCGCTCTCCACGAATGGCTTGAATGCAGCAAACTGAATCTTCGGGTGTCCTGCCAATTCCGTGGTGTTGTTGGGTGTATTGTCGGTGGTGCCCGGTGCCCCGGGTCTCATACTGCGTTCATGGGCTCGGGCTCTTTTGATATCCGCCTCTGCTTCCGCCATCAACTCTTTCACTAGTTCCGCGGCAGGATTCGGCCCGTACAGGAGGAGCCGTTCCATGACAATCCTTGTTTTTTCATCACTGGTTAGTATCGTGGGTTTGGCCATGGTGATACTCTGATCCATCTCGGTTAAGTCAGCAATCAACTCTCTCCTCGGTCGGTTGCTTGCGTTCCCACCTCGGCTCTCGAGTAAATCTTTCAACACACTTGCTACAGGCACCTTCTGTCCTTGTTTTGGGGGGCAATTGGATTGAAGTTTTCTCACCCTTTTCCCCCCTGCTCCTAGTTTAAATACATCCTACCAAAACCTCTGAACTGCTCACGGAGAACATTTGTTCCCTTTTGAGAAAGATGCAAACCATCTTTTTTGTACAGTTTATTTCCATTCCAAACAGAGATACCATGAGAAATGAAGCCAAATCCATGCTCCCGACACCATTCACCAAGCCACAAGTTTAAGTCCCTAATACTCATCCGCCTGTTGTTCTGAGTGTTATGCCGAGGCATAACTTCAGAGAATGACAGTGTGGAAGCAACCTGCTGTATATCATTGGCAAAAACACTAAAAACTTCCTTTACCTCTGAAACCTCATTGCAGGCTAAGTCATTTGTCCTTAGAGGGACAAGTACATCCAACTCCCCCTTCCAGCTTTGTTTGCTTAACAATATTACAAATACGTCTCCTGTCTCTTTGAGCAGTAGCTCCGGGAAGACATCTCAAGACCACCATTGTCCATCTCCACACCTCTTATGATAGAATCCCCCAACAACTGCTTTCTATTATGCCTCACCATAGTCTCCAAGCCTGTCTCCACAACACCACTACCCTCAGAACCTGAGCCTGTCTCCACAACACCACTACCCTCAGTACCTGAGCCTGTCTCCACAACACCACTACCCTCAGAACCGGAGCCCGTCTCCATTACACTCTGAAAGTGCAGAAAATGAATTATGTAAAGCAACAGACTGTGCAATATGCCTTTTATCCACAACTTCAAGTCTACCAGATCCTACATCTATCTGCCATTCCTAGGCTGTTTCTTTGGCAGTGGCTTTGCAACAGTCAGTCTGAGTTCGTTTAACAAATAATTTACAAATCTCAGACTTCAAAAATACAATCTCCTGCCGCAATATACAGAACAGTCTACAGATTAGATGGCATCCAAATCTCCAAAAAGTGGAACGTGAAACAAATGCATTACACAACAACTATTACACTGAACTAAGTTTGCCATTTTAATGAGGTGAATAATTTAAATCAAACAAATCTTCATTTTTTTTGTCTTGCTAAATACCTCAGATTACCTCCGGGGTTTCGGGACTCTGAAGACTGCGTCAGGGGTGATGGTCTTGGCTCGCTTAGGCACCAGCAGTGTTCAACAAACTCCGGATAAGGTGTGGAAGTTCTGTAGTGGGAATGTCCTTGGATACCCCTCTAACCTTCAAGTTGTTGCGTCGCCGCTAATCCTCTAGAGTTGCGAAATGCTGTTCATACTTCGCTTGCTGCATTGTGAGCGTTCAGTTTGGAATTCTGTGATGGATCGAGAGTGTTTGTTGGCTGAGGCCTCCACTGCACCTATGTGGCCTGTCAGGCCTGTGAAGTCGGTGCGTAGTTGGGCCATGTCCGCCTGAAGCACACTCTGCAATTCTCCAGCATGGCCTTTAGTGTGGCTATGTGCGAACCGGTTGCAGTAGGCATGGGGGAGGCAATCCGTTGTCCGTCAGACTGAAGTCTTCAGAGGAGTCAGTCCCCAAGGTTAGCGGCCATCTTTGGCCCACAGGCACTGTGCGCTTGGCGGAAAAGATCGCAGATGGAAACGCTCTGCTTGGATCTGTCAGGCTTCTGTTTTTCTTACCATGTTTGGTAGATGGCTGTGGGGTGTTTTTCCCAGTAACAGGGGTAATGGAAACTGTCTGTTTAATATCGATCATGCCTCCGCTCAGGTCGGTCTCCAAGCCCCACCCCCGATGCTATGTATTTTGTTACACTTGTTTCTGCTATGGTGGCATTGTACGCTCATTACTACTTATATGCACATCAAAAATAAAGAATTAAAAAAAATGCTATGCACTCACTGACAGATTATGCAAAATCGCAAACAGAGCCCCAGAACTGTTAGAAGGTAACTCCTGTCCTGTCCTTGGTGATCGCCAGAATTACCCGTCATAGCCTTATGGTTCTATCCAGACCAAGCCATACCCTTTGAAGGACTAAGAGACACTCCATTGAAGGACATACAAGGAAAATTAATGATTCTTTATTACAAGAACAATGGATTTTTAATAACGCCTAGGGAGGAGTATCATTAATTATCAAATATTGAAAACGATTACGTAATGCAATTAACAAGCGCATATAACAAATTATTGATGTAAAAACGTATCTGGGGCATTACTATATTACAATAGGTGGGTGGAGGACTAGGGTTTCTTAGAATATGAGAGAACAGAGGTGGTCATGTGCCAAGACTATGTATGTTACGTCCTTGCAATGTACATTAAACAATAACAAGAAACGGCTCTCGGGGCGTCTGAGTGCAAGAAGGCAGATTAATCCTTTCAGTGCTGGAATGTTAGCCAGTCTCACATCAACGCTTTCAGTGCTGGAATGTTCGTTAATCTCATTAAATACAATCCCCCCTTTTATTCTAAAAGCATAAACAAATGAAGAGAGGGAATTGGGTGATCTGGATACCATCGATAAAGGTCAATGCATCCACCTGAGTGCCCAAGTCAGGTATACACACTGACACTGCTAGCCATACATACTGCTAAACTGTGACGAAAGCAACTTCGCCACCGGTTTTTGGAGAGGAATAATGGCTAGCCTCTTGCCCTGTGACTTTGTACCCTGTGATAAACCTGGCTAAAATACTTTAAACAGGCTTTGTTAATGTGAGTTATGTACTTTTGCACTCCAGACAGAGAGACAGACTGTTAGCCCTGATTCTATGGAACAGTTTTGGGCATGGGGTCATGCATGCGGTTGGTCAAAACTGACCAGGAAATCCTGAACCCCTGTTGAGTGATTTATGGATATGTTGTTCACCCAGATCAGGGCTATCAGGGGGATTTATGGGGATATGTGGTGTTTTCCAGACTTTGTAAAAGGGAATGTTTTTTCTGCATGGAGTTAGTCTATTGTTTTCATAATTGTATCACAGGCAGAGGGGAGGGATTGTGTACACTGTATGGGAGTGTCTGAATGTAAACCGCTTTATTGGCTTGTATGTTTTGTATTCGATGCCCAACTAGGTCCACCTGGGCGTCACCTTTGCTGTAAAACTTGTATAAAAGACCAGTGTGTGCCATTAAACTTTCTGTTCCTTTTTGACCCTCAACACGTAGTCTTGTCTCGTGATTGGAGGGGGAACTGCTATAATCACACTGGGGATTGCTATACTCTGTATACTCCCCTGGGTTCTAATCACTAGCTCTTATAAGAGCTGTTCCTGCTTCGCTCTCTGAAGGAAGAGAGGTTCACCCCCTGGAGCCTGGTTGTGGGTCCAGGGTGGGTAGGAGAAGGCGAGACCCCAACCAAGCTGCAGCAGTTTGTGGGGTCTGCAGTGCTTATGGTGTGTGGTGCGGTGCTGATGGTCGTTGGTAAGCACTAGGAGCATCGATTGATGGATGGTCCATTACAACAATCATTCACAATAAAGTTTTTTAGCCACCAATGTGGGCTAATGAGCATGTAATTTTCTTATAGTGCTCAGTGGATTAATGGGAATGTGTGGAAATGGGACTTTGTCATTCTGGACTTGTATCAACTCTAAAAGATAGAATTTAGGGTGTAAGTAGAAAAATAAAATTAATCTTTATTACAAGTAAACACAGTAACAAAATAAAACAGTCTCTTTATAAACAGTATAACCAATTATTAGATTTCAAGAGACATATCTAATATTAGCAGATCCTTTTATTACTTAGTCCAGTTCAGTTCTTGTGACTGTATGCTCACCCGCCCCGACACTCCATGTCACCCAGCTCTCCCGCCTCGACACTCCCAATGTCACCCAGCTCTTCTACCCTTAAATATCCTCAGTGTCACACAGCTCTTCCATCCTGACACTCCTACCTTGACACTTGCCCCATGTCACACAGCTCTCCCGTCCCAATATTCCCCCTCCCTCCCTGATAGTTCATGTTATGCGGCTCTCCTGCCCTTACACCCCACCCATGTCATACAGGTCTCTTTTTGTGGACAATTTCTTGTCCATGGAACTTTTTGTTAATGCATGATCTCCCATCTTTACACTCCCCAAGTTACCTGCCTCTACCCCACCAGGTCACATGACGTTTCTTGTGGATGCATGATCCCCTCCCCAAATATCCCAGAACTCTTAGTGGATGTATTCTCTGCACAATGTCTGGTTTTATCATTTCTGATGGATAATCTCCTCCTTGGCGAGCTGCATGATTTTGTTGAAATCGAGATGGATATATTTCCTCCAGAACCGCCGATCTCTTCCATACACCTGAGCAGGATAGCAGGGGCTAGCTGTGGAACAGAACATGAATGTGAGCCTTCATGTGTAATCAGATTTTGCAAGGGTCACAGACCACAAAATTAAAGGGGATAACTCACTTACAGTTTTAGATGCCAACAAGATATTTTCTCTGCAGAAACAGGAGTTACTGAAGTTATGCATCACTAGAAGGTTGGGCAGTATGCTTTATAATGGAGGCAGGGGGATTTGGAAGCCTTTAACTCAACATCCAGTGTTTACAGTGTGGAAAAAGGATTTGATCCCCTGCTGATTTTGAACGTTTGTCCACTGACAAAGAAATGATCAGTCGATAAATTTAATGGTAGGTGTATTTTAACAGTGAGAGCTAGAATAACAAAAAAAAAAATATATATATATATATATAAATAAATACAGAAAAACTCAGGTCAAAAAAGTTATAAAATGATTTGCAGGTCAATGAGTGAAATAAGTATTTGGCCATTTCGACTTGGTACTCAGTGGCAAAACCCTTCGTTTCTTGAAGTTGGCCACCAGGTTTGCACACCTCTCAGGAGGCATTTTGTCCCCCTCCTCTTTGCAGATCCTTCCCAAGTCATTAGATTTCAAGGCTGATGTTTGGCAACTTGAACCTTCAGCTCCCTCCACAGATTTTCTATGGGATTAAGGTCTGGAAACTGGCTAGGCCACTCCAGGACCTTAATGTGCTTCTTCTTGAGCCACTCCTTTGTTGTCTTGTCTGTGTGTTTTGGGTCACTGTTATGCTGGAATACCCATCCATGACCCATTTTCAATAGCCTGGCTGAGGGAAGGAGGTTCTCATCCCAGATTTGACGGTACATGGCCCCGTCCATCGCCCATTTGATTTGGTGTAGTTGTCCTGTCCCCTTAGCAGAAAAACGTCACCAAAGCATAATGTTTCCACCTCCATGTTTGAAGGTGTTCTTGGGGTCATAGGCAGCATTCTTCCTCCACACACGGCGAGTTCAGTTGATGCCAAAGAGCTCAATTTTGGTCTCATTTGTCCACAATACTTTCACCCAGTTCTCCTCTGAATCATTGAATTGAAGTTTGTTGGCAAACTTCAGATGGGTCTGTACATGTACTTTCTTGAGCAGGGGGACCTTTTGTGCACTGCACAATTTCAGTCCTTCACAGCGTAGTGTGTTACCAATTTTTTTTTCTTGGTGACTATGGTCCCAGCTGCCTTGAGATCATTAACAAGATCCTCCTGCTAATTCCTCACCGTTCTCATGATCATTGAAATTCCACAAAATGAGATCTTGCATGGAGCAATAGACCGATGAAGAGTTATTTTGTGTTTCTTCCAATTGCAAATAATCGCACCTACTGTGTCACCTTCTCACCAGCCGCTATTCTTGTAGCCCATTCCAGCCTTGTGTAGGTCTAAAATCTTGTCCCTGACATCCTTGGACAGCTCTTTGGTATTGCCCATATTGGAGAGTTTGGAATCTGATTGATTGCATTTGTGGACAGGTGTCTTTTATACAGGCAATGAGTCGAGACTATTTAAGAGAGTGCTCCTAATCTCAGCTCGTTACCTGTATAAAAGACACCTGGAAGACAAATCTTGCTGATTAATAGGGAATCAAATACTTATTTCACTCATTGACATGCAAATCAATTTATAACTTTTTTGACATGCATTTTTCTGGATTATTTTTTGTTATTCTGTCTCTCAATGTTAAAATACACATACATAAATTATAGACTGATCATTTGTCAGTGGACAAACATTCAAAATCAGCAGGGGATCAAATACTTTATTCCCTCACTGTATCTGCCCATGGGTAATTTAAGCTCCCACCCAGATCCTAATTTAATTTGCAAATGGCAGGAGAACAAATGCAAATATTGGCTTTACGGTCATTTTTTGGGTTAAAATACGTTTTTATTAAGAACGTGGCATGGATACATAATTTTAGTGATCATGATAGTTGTTGACATGTATACTTTTACAGTAAAGTTGTAAGGAGAGCTATATAAACGTTAACATTCTATTTAAAAGGGACGGTAAACTAAACTCTGTGGCAAATCTAGCCACTTTTAGATTACATGGCTGTATCTGCAAAGGTTGTCTGTATAAGCCGCTGGACTGTTGTATTCTAATGTATGCCTGTACTGTTATATCCTAAAGCATTCGTATGCTAGCAGCTGAAAGCCGCTAGCATTCATGTGTTCGTTTCACGAACAGGGACTTTACCTGCTGTTCGTAAAACGAATGAGATACCAACCAGGAGTCCACACACAGAGGGTCGTGTGGCACCCATTAACCGATTGCAGTTTCACTCTATGAGCTTCCTCAGTAGCTGTATAGTAGCCTCAGGAATCCTTCTTTTTAAATGTTTGAAAGTCCTTGTAGGTCCTCCAAAGGACTTTCAAACATTTAAAAAGAAGAAGGATTCCTGAGGCTACTATACAGCTACTGAGGAAGCTCATAGAGTGAAACGCGTTTAGCTGATTATTCTGGACTTTCAATTGGACTTAACACTTGATTTTTTACTTTTTTAGTATGTATTTATTTTGATTTTATTGTCAATAAATTTATACATTATTATTTTACACTTTAGTCCAAAGTCCTTTCTAGCCGTCAGGAACTCCATTGGGGACAGTGCTATTCCCCCCTAAAAGTAGCACATTGTTTATCAACCTCAGAGCCGGGATTTCAGGGCTCTGGAAAAGGTGAGTCCAACTATTTACTCCCTTTAATACTAATATAGTATGTGCTTTTCTACACAATTGATTTTCTGTTTTCTCTCTCGTTGTATATTCCTGGAGGGATACTGCCTGGGACAAAGGATCTTTTTACGGAGCCAATATTGTATAGGCTCCTGTCCATGTGAGTGGTTTAGGTAATTTATTACCATCAATTGTCTATTTGGAAAACCGTCTGCACTATATTTCTTGTTCCCTTTTATGTTTATTCAAGCTTCTCAATATTGTCACTGCATTAAAAGGGGTGAGTAAACCCCTCTACTGTTTAGAGCGCTCCACTTGTTTGGTATAATATTTATACCTTATTTTTTGTATTTGTTCTTTATTGTGGGTAAGGGGTATTCCACTTTTAGTGTTGAGCAGCTTTTACCTTTCAGGCACTGTCAAGTAACACTATATCTTTGAGATAGTTCTTTTGTTTTATATTGTTCGTATATATTTGAATATTGTTCTCCCACCCCAGTCTATTTGTATTAAATTAATTTCTGTAGTTTTGTGAAAGTGTAATATTTACCCTACTGTTTACACAAATGCATTAATTTGCAATGTTACACAATCTCACACAGTGTTATGTCAGTACATGCCTATTCCGTGGAAGATCCGTGCTATTGCTCTGCCAGAAAAACGCTCATCATGGCGAATAGATAGAAAAAGACGGACATCAGAGCAGATATGGTCTTTCCAATCCTGCAACTGTAACAGATAAAAATGACAGGAGTTAAAGGAGAAAAAAAAAAAAAGAATAGATACAAAACCAACAACAAAATGGCAGTATACCTCAGGTCCATCATGAAAGGAGCTAACAGGAAGTACAGACAGAGGATTAAAGCTGGGGTTGATTTATTGATTTCCTTTTTAGGATGGACAGACATTATTTCAGACTGATAAAACAATGTTTTTTGGTTTTCTAGGTGATAAATAATCAGAACATTTTAGTATTATGCACACGTCGTTGCTGCTTTCATGTTTCTCACTGGATCATCTCCTTATACCCAAAACTATTGCCATTTCTACACGAAAGGAACAATGAGGATGTAAAAAAACAAAACCTTTTTTGTGAGAATGCCCAATATAAACACTTTTGCAAATTGAAGCTGGTCTCCAGGAAGGAAGCACCTCTGCTAGTTGTCAGTCTGAAGTATAATCTGAGTATAATCTACTCCTCCCCATTTTTACAAAATGTTTTTATGGTTGCAAAGGAAACTGTGAAACTTAGGTGAAAAGATGGAACATAGCTAAAGAGGGGGAGCTACACTGGATAATTTTTTAGCACAACCAAACAGATTTGAATATGGAGAATGATGCAGCACAAATAGGAGCCAAATACAAGTATTGAATACACACAAGTAGTGTGTTTGCAGTTTGTGAAGTGTTACCTTTAAATCAATTAGCTCCTCCTCTTCGATATTATCACCTCCCAACATGTCTAGGGGGTCTTTTTTCTCAAAGTATTCCAGAAGCAGAGACTTGAGCTGAGAGCTACGTTCTGCACTGACTTGTTCTGCGCATGCACTGCTTGTCCTGTATGCCACGCTAGGAGAAAAAAAAGCAAACAAAACAGTAACTTTATTGGCATCCATGTCAATGGGATCTTATTTATTAAACAATGTCTCCCACCCACCACAGTTTAGAGTATGTCCCGGTTAATTTTAGAGCCCCTACCTGCGTCTAATTGGTGGGGGTTGGGGTAACTTTAGTATGTCGCGCTACATTTTTAACGGAGCCCCCAACTGCTGCCCTAGGTGGCAAATGGTACCGGTCCATCCCAATTTATTAACAGTTAAGCTTCCACCTGATGCCTATAGGTGAAGCTCCTGTGCCAGGTACTCCCCAGGTAATTAGTCAGGGCAGCAATAGCCAATTCAATAAGGTGAAATGGTTATAGTGTCTACAGTGTCCCTTTAATATCTTCAAAATCAGCTGTGATACATTCCTATCGTCATAGCACTCAGCATACACCAGCCTTTCAATAAGCTATAAGACATTCCATTCACTGAGTTCTAGCACTCATCGAAGCAGCCTCACAATGATCTACGGGATGTTCCAATCACGGAGTACTAGCACTAACCGAAGCAGGCTCACAAGGAGTTATACAACTCATGGAATTATCCTCACAATCAGAAAAAAGGCACCATTCTGCTTACAAAGCACTCACCTGCGGAATGTGTTGTAGCAAGATTTAAGCTGAGAGAGCGCAGCTTTCTCTCTCGATGTCACTTTCTGATACAGGAAATCACATATTTCCTCTAATTCTTGGTCAGTGAGATCGCCATAGGAACGAAAATGAAATGAGAGCTTACTGAACTCAACTAGAACTCCACTTTTCCCAGTACCCCGAAATCCTGGAACACACAAATAAACAGAGTAATAGTTCACTTTTAATGTTTGGGGGACATTTAATAAGTTAGTTTGTTTGTCCATTAGCCTTTATTTACTTTCAGAAGCATTCACTATAATGCAAATTGTTAAGAATACCAAGTGAATTTTTTTATTATTTCGGAGAGGAGACTTAAAGGGACACTATATTAACCCAGACAGCTTCATTTCAATGAAGTGGTCTGGGTGCAGTGTCCCAGTCCCACTTAGTCCTGAATGTAAAGTATTGCAGATTTTTTTTTTTGTTTTTTTTTTTAATTGCAATGGTTACTTTGCAGCACCAATGTTTTAAGTAATAAAACCCCTTTAAGCTATGCTCACTCTTTATTTACTTACACTGTTAACAGGAAACAAAAACTAGCCAAAATAGGCACCAATCATCTTTCATTGCTCCTCCATAACAGAATAGTGTGTTTTAATAAATTAATTCCATTAACTATTAGTATTCTATTTACGCAGTTTTTACAAATTTAAGCATTGACAGTTTTGAGTAACAAGTTTTTACATTTGTCAGTCAGTGGTCTTCTAGTGGTTGTCAATCATACAACCACTTCTGGCACTTTTCCAATAACAAATGGAAAATGTAGGCAAAAAAAAAAAAAATAAAAAAAATAAATAAAAAAAAAATCTCAATGAAGCAGTTTACGTGTATAGGTCATGCCCCTGTATGATCAATTCTCTGCCATTTAGGCGTTAAATCACTTTGTTTATACACCTGACATAAAATATGGCAGGTGAGATAGCTCATTGGGCCAAGGCACCACCAGCAAAATATGCCCAACCCCTGGGGTCCGCAGGTTCAAATGCCGACATAAAATCCGGCAGGTGAGACATTTGAACCTGTGGCCCCCAGGGGTTGGGCGTATTCTTGGGATGGCGCATTGGCACACTGAGCTATTTCACCTGTCTGAATAAAACCAATGTTAAATAGTTGACTTAAAATCAGTTTTTTTTTGTCTACTTCCTGTTAATGTGTCATTTGAAGTCAAAGAACCCTATATTATTATTATTATTATTATTTTATTATTTATATAGCGCCAACAAATTCCGTAGCGCTGTACAATGGGTGGACTAACAGACACATAATTGAGATCAAACCACTGACGTACAGGAACAGAGGGGGTTGAGGGCCCTGCTCGATGAGCTTACATGCTATAAATCCATATGTGCCAGGCTAATACTATGTACACGTGAAGAAGCCCCTTGTTTGGTGAAATGCATTGTGTGTGCGTTAATATTGTTTTTAAACATTAAAGTTTATTTGGCTTACACCTATTTTATAGTGCAAGACCATTTATTACATTGTATTATTTTGACTGTTCCTGGCACATTTAAAACACCTGAAGTATCTACTCTACTCTACATCCAACCCCTGGCAAGGATTGCCTTCAGGAGAATCTACTCAACATTATATCCTTGGTGGAGATCACAACACCCAAACGCTATCTCATGAGCGGTGTTATTGCTCTACTAAATGTGAGTGAATTACTATTTATATTTTTCACCTGTTTTTGGTTTTATTTAGTAAGCACTATTGTTTGCTTTTTATGATTTACTTTTTTATATTGGATCTGTGAGACTTACACCTAAAGAGCTACATATTAACCAGTGGGGATTATACCACTGTAAATCGGTTTTACTCAGAGCTGGTCTATAGCTCCAACAATGAGAGTGTGATCCCACATATCCTTGTTTTGTGTCCTACACTAAGTATTTGGGTATCTGCACTATTATTGGTTATTTTCGGTTTTGTTACATATACTCATCACTAACCGAAGCCTGGACGATTCCAAGCCAGGATCATCCAAAGAATAGTTTTATTAAACCTAATACACACAGTATTCAGCGCAATCTGTATTTTGTATCATTTGAAATAGATGTTGGTTATATAGGTGTGTGGAGTTAAGTCAGTCGCCTCCCAAATTCATGACACTGTAGCATAGAGCTTCTGGCTGAAATTAGTGTGTCACGACTCCCGGCTTCTCAACACCACGTGACTGCAGCAGATCGGTGTGGTCACTTAGAAAAGAAAATAGACTTGCCTAAGTTGCGGCGGATCTCAGCCAGATCCGCAGACGTGTTCATCCCCAGCGAGCGCGGTATTACAATGGACGTCGGGCACTGTAAGGGCAGCACAAGATATAGCCTCCAGCTGGGTTTGAAGTCGCGCAGACGTGCGTGTGCGGTCACACAAAGAACGCACATGCACGTGCTGGAGTCAGGTGACCTCTGTCCACCAATGAATTTAATTCTTTATTTCTTCCTTGCCCTGTCGTGGTTTCCACTTCTTTGGTTATCTGAGAGCGCGTTTGTTTTATTGATTCCTGTTTTTTGATCTTGGCTTGTTCTGATTATTTGTATTTCTGGTATCCCTGATCCTCTGGCTTTGTCTTCTCGTTTTTGCTCCTGTCTTTGCCCCTGACTTCGGCTTGTTTCTGACTAGTCTTTCTACGTTAAGTCTGCCCATTGTAAGGACCGGTAATACGTTTTTCTAATTGACTTAGTTCTGCGTGTTGGGCCAAAGCCTCCTCCTGATAGAGTGATCCATTTGCCTCCCTTGTTCCAGCTTGCCTTCTTGCAGTAGAGCTTTTTTTTATCCTCTGACATCTGTCTGTCTGCCAATTCAGTTTGCCAGATTGGTTTTCTGGGTCTGTGTTTTTTGAGACCGTATGGTAGCCCAGGAATGTGAAAGAACCCATCATGGCATACCATTTTCAAATGTTGATAACCCAGGGTATTCAAAATGGGGTATTTCCAGTCTTTTGTAGTAGCCATTTAGTCACAAACGCTGGCCAAAGTTAGCGTTTTTATTTGTTTTTTATAAAAATGTAATAATTTTTTTTTTACATATACATATATATATTTTTTTTAATGAAATGGCTATTATGTTATGTAATAATCAAATACTATATTTAGAGTTTCATTTAGAATACTATATATACACAGTTTTAATACAAATTCTCTCTCCTTTTGTTTTTTTTATATACATATATCACTTAAAATATTTATGAAAGATCGCAACATATATGCCAGAAAACCTCATTATATTCCTGTATAAAAGGATATTTATGTTAAAGAACTATCGGAATATCCTGTCTATACAACAGAAACTGATGATTCAAACCTTAGAGATTAAAAGACCACGGAAAGATGACGTCAGCTTTACTTCAGAAAGAGGCTTGACACACAAGGAAGTAATCTGACCGGCAACGTACACAACGAAGCTCCAGGTGAGAGCATCTGCCATGATGAATGCCGACCATCACATGGAGGCTTGGACCACATCGCATTACCAAGGTTAGTAATTACGCAATGGAACTAGCACACCAGACACACATCTCCTCATTAAAGAGGTATATTAAGACAGACTGGAGAACCAGGGATCAGCACACACTTTACGAAGCTGAGGAAGCTATGTTGGTAGTGAAACGCGTTCTGGGATTGTTTACAAAAGGACATTGTTCCTCTTTTTTACTTGTACGTTTATTAGTGTATTAATAAGATTAATTATATTTTTACCCTGGTTTCCGGAATTACCTTCAAAAGTGGGAGTGTAGTCCTGAACTACACAACGCGATACTGCAGAGTCATAGGGGCGCTATGCTTGTAAGTACGCATTTGGCTTAACATCTTATAACACTGGCGGATAACTGAGCTACTCTATTTTGATTTTATATACTTCCCTTAGGATTGGACATTCACTCTGCATGGGTGGGGGTGGGAGGGTCACCTTAACGAACCCGAGGTTATCCACACCGGAGCTAGGTCATATAGCTCCACGTTTGTATCTTTGTATCACCTCCATTATTGTTTTAAATGATTTGCACTGTTATTATATTCACTTTTGTAGGCATTTAAAGATTAATGAAAGTCGATGTACCATGATTGTAGTCTTTAAGGTAATTTGTACCTTTAAAATAAGCGCTATACCTCTTATTTTTCTACATAAATGCAGCAAATGTACCCTGTTATACAGGTTTTACACTTACTACTTTACATTGTAGCAGAGTAATTTCTTCAGTATTGTCACATGAAAAGATATAAAATATTTACAAAATTGGGAGGGGTGTACTTGTGTGAGATACTGTATTTGTGGGAATATGAGAAGGCTTTCCTCTCCCAAAGATTTAATGTCTGCCATAGGCTTGTTCAGCAGATTTTATTAGGGTGTGCCCTTGGGAATGATGTCCTTATGTTAGATTTTAAAGAGAAATTCTAAGGTTAACATTACAGACATGTGTCTAATATTAAGAGTTTCCCGCTTTGTCTATTCCTTTTTAAAGGGGAGCCCTAAATGTAATTATTTATTAGATTTTTAAAAACATATTGAATACAAGAAAGAGTGGCTTTAAAAATAGCCCAATACATACAATACATACAGAATCCGATAGATACATTCTACGACAAAGCTGACCTTAAGTATTGATCCTGCCCACTCTACTAGAGTTTAGTCAAAAATCTTTTCCTTTACATGAAATTCATGTGACATCTTCGATTACACAAGATCGACATATAGCTATATCTTCATCGGGAGAACAATCAACAACACATTCATTCTACCTCGGTTTCGGTCTTGTATTATTGTTATGGTAAGAGTACTAATGTGGTTAAATTCTATCAATTTATGTTGAACAGTAAACAAAAACCAAGAACAGAAAGAAACAAAAGAAAATACAAAAGAAGAATAACAACGAGGCTCACAATAGCCTTACATTAAATCCTTATGTCAAAGGACCAAACAGTATGTCTTCTATTTTAGCTTGGCTTTGGAACACCTCCTTAGCCATGAGCTAAAATAGGCCCCTCGTCACATGTAGCCCTTCCACCTGAGTTCTGTCCCATATCATTGATATATAGATCTGGATAAAACAAGTGAATAGTGTGTAGGCGCTTCGTAAATATAATAAAAAATAAATATAAAGTAGTGGTAGATATAAAAAAGTGTTTCCCAAACACTAATAAAAGAAATGATAAATACAAAATATATATCAAAACCACAAAAAAGAAAAACCAAAAGTGAAGTAGTGATAATAAAAATAATAATAAATATATACAGACATACAACCTGAACTTTGCAAGGTAGTAAAGTGGAATCTAGAAATACAAAATATAATACAACATAGTGTAATCTTGTAACGGACCGTTTTGCACCCAAGAGGTTAAAAACCGTTTAGGTGATATTCCCCTTTTCAGATGCACAGGCACAGCTACTGCAGAACACCAAACTCCCAAACCGCATATAAGGGAATGTTCCAAACTCCCGAACTGCATACAAAATAGCACTCCAACCTCCCGAACTGGAACCTCAGGAATAGCTGCTAGCAGACGAATAGGAAAAGCACCCAAGCGGCTTACACTCCTAGCAATCAGTCTCTAACAGCATACAGTAAATCCCCCCAAGAACGAGACAAAGCTCCGTGTTGAGGGTCAAGCATTGGTCTGTTTAAGGAGGGCTACCTGCCCAGTATTTATGCAGGTCTCCCACCTGGTGGACACTCCCCTAGGGGACCAAATGGGAGACTGTGACAAGGGACAGACAAGAAGACAAATAGGACACACAGTCACAGTATATTCCCACAATGCATCCTGGCTTCCTCCCCTCTGCCCTGGGAGATAATTGAGAAGTAATTCAGTTATCTCCCAAGACAAAGGCAAATCTCCATTATGCACATGGGGATACTAAAACAAGCATTACTGTTAAAATACACCAGGTAAGACACATTACATGAAAACTATACATTTAACATATCCCCAGATAGCTCAGGTCTGAGCGCACATTATTAAGTGAATGGCGCTCAGACCACACGAATACAGTTTAATCGCCATGGAGCTAAAGTCTTTACAGTCAGTTTCATACGAATGGGCTCCATGGGATTCTTATCTGGGGTATAACACATTCAAACAAAACTACCGAACACCGGGCCGTTCGTGCACTTCCACCGAACAAGGGAGGTCGGCGGCTTCAGCGGTGTTCGCGCAAAACTGTGTCCGATTTTAGTACCATGAAAATAGAGACAAACACCGCTGTGCATTCGTATGTTTAAAATGGCCGCGACCTCGTGTTCGGGATACGAATGGCGGCCACCCAGCATTCATCAATTAAGCTGCGGTTAACCGCAGCTTCAGGGAGGTTAATTGCCAGCACACTCCAGCTCCCAGGTGGTCTATTCATTCTGGGACACAAATAGTACAAAGCGTGCACCTTCCTATCACTCCGGCCAGCCACCGCGGACAGCAGAGCAGCTCGGCCACGCTACAGGGGAGGGGGTAAGAAGGGGGTAAATAGAGGGGAGGGGGGTAAGAAGAGGGGGGAGTAAGAGAGGGGGGAGTAAGAAAGGGGGTAAGAAGGGGAGGGAAGTAAGAAGAGGGGGGAGTAAGAAAGGGGGGTAAGAAGAGGGGAGTAAGAAGGGGTAAGAGGGGGGAAGAAGAGGGGGAGGGGAGGAAAGGGGGTAAGAAGAGGGGGAGTAAGAAGGGGGTAAGAGGGGAAGGGGAAGTAAGAAGAGGGGGAGGGGGGAGTAAGAAAGGGGGGTTAGAAGTTCTTTATTTGAAATTTAATTTTTTTTTTCCTGAAATTTCCTTCTTAAAATGAGGTGCGTGTTATACGCCGGTGCGTGTTATACGCCGATAAATACGGTATATATATTTCCTGGCCATATCCATGGCAGCACAACATTGGGTAGCTCCTCCCTATCCCCATTGGACAGGAATAATTATTAAGCCGTATAAGTACCACCTCCTACCCTTCCTTCCCCAGTCTTTTTTTCCTGTCCTATCCCTACGACATGTCGGTCTTTTCAGACTATTAGATTTTCTTTATGGCTTACCTGAGGATTAGTTCCTCTAGCCCCTGGGGAGTTCACCCTCTCTCCCCTGGGAAGTCTCCAGTATACGGCCCTGCGCAAAGGTGTCCCCCTGGAGAAAACCCCTTTAGTGACCGGGGGTTTTTCCTTCCTATAATTCTTGCAATAACCCCAGAGGTAGCAAGTGGAGTAACATGGAATTTTGGCTGGTTTCCGGACTTGGATTTTCTCCCCCCAGAATCAAGGTAATGACTCCATGGATTGGTTCTTACCTGTAAAGATTATTCTTCTGAAGATCAGTAAGTAGTTGGTCTCCTTCTCTAAGAAACCTGTAATCTCTCTGTGCTGTGGTTCCCCTGCGCCTGCACGGCGTTCGGGAGTTCCTGTGCGCCTGCGCGGCGTTCGGGAGTTCCTGTGCGCCTGTGCGGCGTTCGGGAGTTCCTGTGCGGCGTTCGGGAGTTTCCGGTGCGCCTGCGCGGCGTTCGGGAGTCTCATGTGCGCCTGCGCGGCATTCGTGGGCTCCGGGACGCATGCGCGACGTTCGGTTGTTTCTAAGCGTTCGCGCGGCTTCGTTTGAATAAGCGCGCGAACGCGATTAACACGTTCGCGCGTTTTCTCGCTCATTGGCGTATGCGCGATGACGTCACATGCCCTTCTTAAAGCGCCAGACCTCTTTTTTCAGGGTAGGTTGAGTTTCTTCCTCCAGGAAAGTTTTTCTGCACCATTCTGTTGGTTCTTCGCCTTTCCAGATTCCTTTTCCTTCTAAAGCATCAAAGTAAGTTTTTTTTTTTCCCTCCTATTTTATTATTTCTTATTTTTGTTTATATTTCTTCTTGGTATTAGTTTCGCTGTTCCATCTATTCTTTATAGATGGATTCTCGCTCAGGATCCAGGGAATCGGATTCTTCTCATCACAATAGGTCACAATCTAAGCAATATAGGTAAGCCATCCTAAAAGAGAGGTAATGTACTAATGAGCAGGTAATGTACTAATGAGCACGTTTGTTGTATTTCAGTGCTAAAAGTACAAAGACTTCAGGATCGTCCAAGGGGAAGTCGCCCAAAAGGACGCTGCGTATATCCTGTGATAACAGAGCCATAGAAGGGAAACGTCTCTGTTCAGATTGTCTCTCAGCAGCTGCTGGCCCTTCTCATTCAACACCGGACTTTATGCAACTTATCAAGCATGCAGTTGCCCAGGGCATAAGAGAGGGTGGTAAGACCCACAAGCGACCTAGATATTCTGAGCCCTCAGATTTATCTCCAGGAAACTCTGAAGAAGAGTTAATGGATTCAGCTTCTCTGAGAGACCTAGCTTTTTCCTCGGAGGAGGAGGCTATCCCTGATCCTGACTTCCTGGTACCTGCGGAGGTGGATCATTTAATTGCCCGGGTCAGAGAAACCCTTACCTTGAAGGAACCCTCTACATCTAACCGCTATTTCTCTG